GTCATTCCGTGCTCCTCGCCGGAGTCCGCCTGCGGTGCGGGGCCGGGCGAGGTCAAAGCTGCGAGGCGGCCGCCGTGGCACTCCCTCTCTCCTCCCGGCTGCCTGCGCCCGGGCGGCGAGGAGGGCGCGAACCACGTCGACGTGCCCCTGGCGCGCGGCAAAGTGGAGCGGCATCGGAGCACCGCCCACCCGCTCCGCACACGCGTCGATCTGGGCGCGCGACTCGAGCAGCGCCGCCACGACGGGTGCGTGGCCCCGCCAGGCCGCCGCGTGGAGCGCCGTGTTGCCGTCGGCGCGCGACTCGTTGATGGCAGCGCCGGCGCCGAGCAGCATGCCGACAACGGAGGCGTGCCCCTCCCGCGCCGCAACGTGCAGTGCGGTCGCACGCCCCTGCCCCGCCTGGTCCACCTCCGCACCAGCCTCGAGCAGGAGCGCGACGACGCCAGCGTGGCCGCCGGCGGCGGCGGCGTGGAGGGCGGTTCGGCCGTTGTCCCGGACCGGGTTGGGGACTGCGCCCGCGGCGAGGAGGCTCGAGACGCACCGCACGTGGCCCTGGGCCGCCGCCACGTGCAGAGGAGTGATGCCGTGCGACTCGGCCGCGCTCGGGTCCGCCCGGCCCTCGAGCAGCGACTCGACCGCCTCGGCGTGGCCCCCGCTGCAGGCGGCGTGCAGCGGGGTCTTGCCGTTCTCGCGACGGGCCGCCGGCTCCGCCTTCGCAGCAAGCAGCGACCGCACAACCTCGGCCGAGCCGTGCGCGGCAGCCGCGTGCAGCGCCGTCTTCTTGTTGTCGGCCCGTTTTGCGTCGACGTTTGCTCGCGCGGCGATCAGCTCGCTGACGACCTCGGCGTGGCCGTGCGCGGCAGCGGCGTGCAACGGGGTGGAGCCGTTGTCGCGTGGGAGGTTCACGCACGCTCCCTGCGAGAGGAGCGCCACGACGGCTCCCGTGCGACCTGCCGCGGCGGCGGCATGCAGTGCCGTGCGGCCGCTCGAGTCTCGCAGGTTGTGGCTGAGGCTCGAGGGCGCGGCCGGCGGCTTGCCCATACCGCAAAGCTCCCGCTCGAGAAGAATTTTACCTCACGAATGACTGCACTCCAAGTGCTCCACCGGGAACGGGGGGAAGGACAGGCGGGCGACATTTGACGACGTCGGGGATCACAATGTGACGACCAAAACGATCTTGGGGGCCAGGGTGAGACAACAGGTCGGGGTGCCACATGGGGCACACCACAGCGTGTTCTAGAGGGGGGAAAGAAACGGGGAATGAGGGGCCCCGCCACGAGAAGTGCGTTCTGGGGATGCAGAGCGTGCAAGGCGGCTAGGGATGAGGCCACAAAAGAGGCGCGCGAGGCAAGGAGGAGACGCGGGGAACTGGGAGACTGGGACGACTGGAAACAAGAAGACAGGTGAGCCACCACAGGCGTCGTTGGCGCACATACTGAGCGGCAGCTGCGCTGAAAATAAGGAAGAGGCGCGTCACTTCATGCGGAAGCTCGACAAACACACAGCGAGGGCGACAGCAAGAGTTGAACGGGAGGCGCCGGACTCAAAAGACACCGCCACATTCCTGAGACGAGCGAGGGCAGCCTCCTTAAAGGCGAAAGGGTCTAGATTTGGAGCGCTCGCCGAAGAGGAGTACGACAAAATAGCGCCCGTGATTGCCTGCACGCTACCCGCACTCACGGACTCCATACCCGAAAGAAAGAGAAGGGAGCTCGCGGGAGAGGTGACGAGTGAACTACAGGTAGTGGGGAAGGCAGCCTCGATTGCCATACAGACATGGGTGCGAAACAACGACAAGACCAAGGCACGGGCAGAGGAACGAGAGAAGAATATAGGGTGGATAAAGCGCCTGTTCACGGCATGGAGGGTGAGCCACACCGAACGTACCGAGCGAAGAGCCGAACGGAAGGAGGACGGGGAAGATGACTCCGAGGAGGACGAACCAGTGGAAATTCAGTTGTCAGATGTCACGATGCATCCGAAGGGGACCCCAGCGCCGGCATCATCCGTAGAGGCACGAGTGTTCGAAGAGAGAGTGGACCTGAGCAACAACATGACCTGTAGGCAAATGATCGGAGTGGGAGTCAGAAATGTGGTCCTTGCGCGATGGGAGCTCGATAGACTCGAGGGGCCAGGATACGCCGCGAGGAGGACGGAGTTGCGCCGAAAGGCGAAAGAAGCCGCGAGAACAAGGGACCGGCAGGCGGCGGCGTCGCAGGACGAGGCAGAAGAGAACGACGCGACAGAGGAGGAAGTGACAAGGGAGAGAACGACGAGAGTGGGACGACCGCGAGGTGGCATGAAGGTTGCAGCGAGAATCGGCGAGAGACTGCGAAGAGAGATAGGAAGAGGCAGACTCCCTAGGGTGGGCGACGGCTAGCGCACCACACACCTCTCCTTAAAATCCCTGTGTGGTGGCGGCGTGCCGTCCTCCCATCCCTCCCTTGGGTTCACCTTGTGATTTTTGGGTCAAAATCGTCCCGATTTCATAATGTTCGTTCGTACGTGCATCCGCGGCGCCCAGCGCGGTGCCAGCGGCTCCCATACCTCTAAGAGGCCACCCACCTCCGTATAGACCCTTATATCCGCGGTTTACGCCCAATAGAGGCAGCTGCAAGAGGGCCCGGACGGGCACTGCGGCACACACTGCTCGCTGCTCGGCCATGCGGTAGCGTCTGGTGATGCCGCCCCTGCGCGGGCGGGGGCGTCTCGCTCGGCAGCAACTGCGCCGCGCAGCGCAGGTTCGAGGGTCGCGGTGGGTGGGTGCACTGGAAGACGTAGCGGTCGAGAAAGCGCTCAGCGACCGCTACGTCTCGAGGATGGAGCCGTCGCGCGGACCCGACCGGCCGACCGGCAGTAGCAGCAGGCGCCGGAGGGCGCGGGAGGCAGCGGCGACACCTCGGGCCAGAAGCGCGAGCCCTAGGCTGGTGAGGGGGCCCGCTCATGCGTAAACGGCTCTGGGACTTAGCTAAATCGCGCATCGAAATCGGGACGATTTATATTACCCAAAAGCTAGGCTACACAACGCCCTCTATGTTGGGTCAAGGCGGGACGATTTTGCCAGAGTACCGTCACAAGGTGGGCTGTTTTCTTTCTTTCTTTCTTTTCCAAGTGCTCCAAGATCTTGCGCACTTGAGCACTGGATAGGGTCGATTCCGCATGGTACGGGACCCCTCGATTTTAGATCTTAGGAATCCTATCATCCATGCTAAATGGGGAGAGAGAGAGAGAGAGAGAGAGAGAGAGAAAACCGCCAATGGCAGTTATCCGTTAGTGCGGACGTCGCCGCGGCTCGCCTCTGCCGCGGCGGCTGCTGCGCGCACGCGGCGGCGCCGCTCTCTCGCGAGACGGCTGGTGACGCGGCTCGCGGACGACGTACGCTGCGCTCGTCGGACCGCCCGCGGCGTGGCGTGCGCGGCGCTGCGCGCCGCTCTGCGAGGGCTTGTGCGCTGCTGTCACACTGCACTGTCTCTCTGGTGCTGCTGGTGGTGGTGATGTTGCTGATGCTGGTGCATGTGCTGCTGCTGGCGCGGCGCGGCTCTGCGACTCGGCTCGAGACGCGCGTCGGGAGCAGCTGACACGGCGGCGTCGGGCAGGTTGCGCCTCTCTCTGGTGCTGGTGGTGCTGGTGGTGCTGGTGGTGCTGGTGCTGATGCTGCTGCTGATGCGGCGCGGCTCTCCGACTGGACTCGAGGCGCGTGTCGCGGCAATCTGACGCGGCGGGCGGCGTCGCGGGCGGCAGCGGTGGCGGCTCGACGGTGGAGGTGGAGGCTGGTGGCTGTGGTGGACTTTGAGTTTATTTCATGGTCGAGTACGGGGACCGGGGGGTCAACCGGGAGGCAGGGGGTTCGACCTGGCGACGGAGGACCGTGGGCCATCGCGGGGACGGGTCCGTCCGGAGGACGAGCTCGGTAGATCCGGATGGTCTTCACACCGGTGGGAGGCACCGAGGCGTCTGGGACGCTCCACTCTACCTTAAGCTCCTGAGGGGCGCGTGGTTTTAACCACGTAGTAGGACTACAGCCCACCACAGACACACTCCCTCTCCACACGTGTGCACACACCCTCACCCTCTCCTCTCTCCTCTCTCTCTCTCTCTCCTCTCTCATCCTTGTCTGCTGTCTGCCTGACTCAGGCACTAACTCTGCCGATGCGTGATTGTGTGTGGGCTGCTCCGAGGGGGCCCTGTGCGATCCGATGGGTAGGGAGTCTGTGCCCGGGCGGTGTCCGGTGCGGAGTCTCTCTCTGATCCCACCTGTGGTGTTGGGTGTGAGGTCGTGGAAGCTTCGATCCCAAGGGGGGGAGCCGAGCCCACTCATAACCAACTCTCAGGGGCAGTAGGTGGGCGAGCCTCGAGCGCGCTCATCTCGATCGTCAAGGCGTCGCTACGCGCGGTCTTCCGCGGGGGGAGCTTCGTCGACGGGTGCGGGAGCGCGGCGCAGCCAGTGCCGTGGCGATGCCTCCGGCTGTTTGTGGCGGGCGGCTTGCTGCTCGCTGCTTGGCGAAAAACTCGTCTCGCCACACGCCAAGGGCTTATGCTCTGGCGAGACGTGAGGCGCATGCGCCCAGGATGGGAGGGGGCATGCGTAACGACACTGCTAGAGATGCCTTTCGGGGCCCAGAGATAAAACTTCTGTGATGCCATGCGTGACCTAGTAGTGTCCCCAGCTATGGGCGTGTCCACGTTGGAGCCAGGTGTGGTGTGGGCGCGAGAATAGCTCCGCCGTTCATGGAGGCAACCGATGCGAGTCGACTGGTGTGTGTCGTCGTGGTTTCGTATCAAGAATTCTCTCTCTGCTAAATGGGGACTACCTTCTCTCCAGTCCTCGCGAGGTCCGTTTCTTTACCAGAGTCCAGACCAAACCAATTGTTGGTGCATTTGTCTGTCGCTTGTTCGTATTGTCGCTCTCGGGCGCCCAGCTCGCAGCTCCGGACCACTCCACACCACGTCAAACCGGAGGCGGAGAGCCCATCCTCTCTCTCCCCGCACCCCGGCCGCCGCTCGCGGCGTGGCCGCACACCTCGGGCAGCGACAGCACGGGCTCCCACCAGCGCGCTGCGCTCGAGGCCTCCCACGGCCTCCGGTCGTCGGGAGCCTCCTCGCCCCACTCCCACGCCTGCGGCTTGCCCGCCTTTCGCGAGGCGCACACGACCTTGCGAAACGAGAGGTCGTTGTACCAAGATAGAACTCGGACCCTGGACCGTTGCCTGTTGACCGTGCTCTCGTTGACCGGCACGAGGAGCAAGCCGCGAGCGGCGAGGTCGAGAGTGGGCGAGTCGAGGAGCCGCTGGAGCTGCGAGCGCGGGAAGCTCAGCACGTTTCGCTTGTTATAGCCGACGCCGGTCATCTCGAGGATGCTGAAGCTTACGTACCCCAGACTCCGCAGCAGCGCCAGCAGCTTTGGCGCTTCCGGCGAAGTCCCGCTCAGCTCGGTGGAGATGATGGGCTGGTCGCGCCGGATGGTTGTCGCGCCCCCGAGGATGGCTCGACGCTCGTACCCCTCGGGTGGGAAAAGGTGGGGAGAGGGTGGGGAGAGGGTGGGGAGAGGGTGGGGAGAGGGTGGGGAGAGGGTGGGGAGGAGCAACCTCCATATCGAGATGTGCAAATCCCAGCCGCGATCGCCACTCGGAGAGGAAGAGCTCGTCGATAGTCGAGACGCCCACCCTCACGGTGGCGGAACGAGGCGCCGAGATGTGCCGTTGTAGCTTCCCAACATAACCGCCTCGTCGATCGATCACCTCAATGGAGTCAGATTCGTTGGAGAGGGCTCGCGCGTACCGCAGCAGCGCCCGGTTCGCCGCGTCGTCAGAGCACTGTATTGAATGGGCGTTTGACGGGAGCGGGTCGACCGCGCGCACTCGCCGCCATGGATTGAGGCACGCATAGTAGCACGACCACTTGCCGAATAGAGCACCAGCGTCGAGCACATCGCCGGGCGGCACGAGCTCTTCGCGAAAGAGACCCTGCACAATCGCATTGAAACTGCGCTCTGTGCTCGGCGCTTTGCAGCCCAAAGGCACCACGGGCATGCTGCACCACTGCCGGGCGAGTCGTTGACATCGAATTGCAATGTCTTTTCCTGAAGTTACACGTCCCCATCGTGCTCGAGGTTCGAGCGTCCACCCATACCCCCGCGTTGGTGTCCAGTCCGAGCCTGACTGTTCTTCACCTTTCTATTCTATCTCTATCGAGCCTCGTCGCAAGGGCGCGTGCACGGTGCGCGGGGCCGCGGGGAGAGTGCGCTCTCTTTCTCTCACTCACAGTTTACTTGTGTACTCCCAGTAGCAGTACTGTGACTGACCCGTCGGCTCGGGGGGTTCGCCATTCGCGGGGCGCCTCACCCACACTTGCACACACGGCGGACGACGCCCGACGCGGCGCGCGCTCGTCGGCGTACCTCCTTTCCTCGCCTATTTCCACACATTCCAGCTCTGCACGCAGGTGCAGCTCGCGTCCTGTTTCCTCACCGTGTGCGTGTCGCACTGTCACGCTGTGTTTTCTCGGGAGACGTGACCTCGCGCGCGTCTTGTAGTCGATACAGATAATTATTCCACACCACACAGGCATGCACCAGCGGCACAACGCTCACTCGGCAGCGCGCCGCGGCAGCGGAACGATGACTCGTGGCGGGAAGCCATGACCTTTCGCGCGCCGCTCGCCGCAATAGCCTGCCGCGTCGATGGTCACGTCGGGAATGGAGGTTGCCGCCGCCGCCGCAGCCTCCACCTCAGCGGCCTCCATCCCGGACGCGCCGAGCACCTGCCTCAGCACCTGCCGGCCGGACAAGCAGTCTCTTGCAAGCGCACGGGTGTGCGGCGGGTGTGGCGGCGGGCGGACGCGCCTCGGTGCGGTTCGCCAGGCCCGTGACGTTCAGCTCGACGGCCTCGCCGCCGTCCAGCTCGATGCTCACTCGCGAGCTCTTCTCGAGCTTGGAGCTGCTCTGCGACACTGACGCGTCGGGGTTCTGGAACCGCAGCTGCGCGAGGTGCATGCGCACAAAGTGCCGCGCGGCGGTGTGGCCGTCGCCAGCGCGGCCAAACACCACCTAGGGGGCCCGAGCAGGCGGCGCGTCGAGGCGGGCGCGCGCGTCACCACGGTGCGGCCGCGAGGGAGGCGCCTCGAGCTTCTTTAGCGCCGGCAGGTGCACGGGCACCTCGGAAAGGCGCTCGTGGAGGCGCGCCCAGCCGCGGGTCGGATCGAAGCCCTTCCGAGAGCGCACCGCCTTCTTCGCCAGCTCGCGCACTGCGCCTGAACCGGCGCCCACCGGGAGACGACTCACCGCCGAGTGAGCCAACATTCTTGGAAAAAAGACTAGGGGGTTATACACTCTCTGAGGCCTCAGACCCCCCTCTGAGGACGGGTCGGACCCCTGCCTTGGCGGCACAGAGGGTTTGACTCTGACTCTGTGCCGCCTCTATGGCCTCTCTTGGCTGCTTTTGGCCTCAGAGGGTCCCTGGCTGATGGTCCGTCTTGGCGCGGCACAGAGGGCTTTGACCTCAGAGGGTGGCCCCCCCTCACGGCAGAGGCGAGAGCCCCGGGCGGAGGCGGAGCTGCCTAGCCCTCCACGAACGGCGCTGACCAGTGAGGGCGGGGAGGGGCGGGGTAGTAAAACATTACGACTTTTCACAGCGACCATCCATGACTAAGGCGCTACTCTATACGCTCGCAAGCGCGCCCGGCACCACACGCGCTTACTGCTGCAGGCTCGCCCACAGCGCCTGCGCCGTGCCCTGCGCGTGAACCAGCTTCGCACACGGCCCGGCCCCGTCAACTTGAGGATGTGCTTGGAGCGGCCGCCCGACAATGTCGTTGACCCGGACTCTGATGCGCATCTTGGGTGCCTCGCCACAGCTGGGGCGCCTCGCGCAGAGTAGCTGGAGAGACAGTTCCGTCAACTCTCGCAGAAATTCTTTTTCTATGGTTGTGGGGACGAGAGAGACTTGAAATGCCTGAAAACCCCTCTGAGGAGCGGCCTCGCGGGGCTTGCCTTGGCGTCTCAGAGGGTCCCCGTAGCCTCAGAGGCTGCGCCGAGAGAGGCTGGCTTGGCGGCACAGGCCTTCAGAGGGTCGGCCCAGGCACCCTCTGAGCCGCTCGTGGATGGCCTCTCTTGGCACAGAGGGTACCCTCTGAGACGAGCAGATCTGGGCCCGCTTGCCTCAGACCCCCCCCCTCTGATACAACCCCCTAGTGAAAAAAGTCGCTCGGCGGCGATGTATTCTTTTTTTGCTTGGGCGGCCCTTATCATGAAATTCTGCAAAAACCTGACCGGCCCCCTGCAGGCCCCTTCCTCTCTACCTACCTACCTACCCTACTTATGGGAAACTAAAAAAGAAATCATGGGACGGGTGAAGGCTGCGCGCCTGACCGGTGCGGCCTCCGAGTCGGCGTCTAGCGCGCGCGATAAGGTTTTTGCTCGCCTTCCCTGGGACCCCGTGTTGCATGTCACTGTCATCACTGTGCGATTTCGGGGCCCGGGGTTGTGCGTTTACGTGAAGGTGGGGTACTATACCAACTAAATCCCTGTGTGGTGGCGGCGTGCCGTCCTCCCATCCCTCCCTTGGGTTGTCTGTTTTCTTTCTTTCTTTTACTATACCAACTAAAGTGATGGGTGGTGGTACTCTCCTGCAACCACAGTCCTTCCTGTGACATGGCAGGCCACTCTCAACACTCAAGCCCTACAAGCACCAGATCACACACTTGGGGAGGGAGGTTGACATCGTGATTTATGCGGAAAATTTCTTTTTCTGCTGTGAAATTTCCGGCGTGAAGAGAGGAAAACCCCCGACGGGAGGGCCCAGACCTACCCTACCTACCCCGTGATGAGGGCCGCCCAAGCAAAAAAAGAATACACCTGCGCGCTCTACGTACGCGTACAGGCGATCCATGTCTAAAGAGAAAAAAAATTCAACGCTGCTCGCCGATGTTCACCCAGACAGACATCGGACCCAGGCAACGTTCGCCGAGTCCGGAAGGCTAGCGCGACGCGCCTCCCTTCACACTACCGCGCCCGCTCCCGGCGGCCACGCCTCGATCTTCTTGGGCAGCAGTTGGTTCGACAGGTCCTCTCCGTGGCCTAGGCAGCTGTGGTCTTCCTCGCCCCATGCAAACACGGCGCCGTCGGCGGTGAGGGCGAGGCTGTGGTGAGACCCTGCCGGCACAGCGACGACGCGCTGGTTAGCAAAGGCCTCGATCTTCTTCGGCAGCGGCTGGGTCTGCAGGTCGTCGTGGCCAAGCTCGCCCCAGGCTCCACGGCCCCAGCTCCAGACGGCGCCGTCGGCGGTGAGGGCGAGGCTGTGCACGCCTCCAGCCGACACAGCGACGACACGCTGGTCAGCCAAGGCCTCGACCTTCTTGGGCAGCAGCAGCTGCTGCCCAAGAAGGTCGCCGTGGCCCAGCTTGCCACAGGCTCCATCGCCCCAGCTCCAGAGAGCGCCGTCGGCGGTGATGGCGAGGCTGTGGCTGCTTCCAGCCGACACAGCGACGACGCGCTGCTCCGCCAAGGCCTCGACCTTCTTGGGCAGCAGTTGGTTCGACAGGTCATATCCGTGGCCCAGGCAGCTGTGCTCTCCCTCGCCCCAGCTCCAGACAACTCCGTCGGCGGTGATGGCGAAGCTGTGACTATCACCAGCCGACACAGCGACGACACGCTGGTCAGCAAAGGCATCGATCTTCTTCGGCAGCAGCTGCTCCTGCCAGTCGCTGTGGCCCAGCCGGCCGTGGCCTCCCCAGCCCCAGCTCCAGACGGCTCCGTCGGCGGTGAGGGCGAGGCTGTGGTGGCGTCCAGCCGAGACAGCGACGACGCGCTGGCCAGCCAAGGCCTCGACCTTCTTCGGTAGCAGCTGGCCCTGCTGGTCGCCGTGGCCCAGCTTGCCAAGGCCTCCCATGCCCCAGCTCCAGACAGAGCCGTTGGCGGTGAGAGCGAGACTGTGAAACCCTCCAGCTGACACGCTCACAGCACGGAGAGAGGAGGGGAGGAGGGTCGGCGTGTTGAGCCGCGTCACGCCCTCGCCGTGCCCGAGCAGTCCTGGGAGGTAGGTGGCAGCAGGGTAGTCTGAGCCGCACGACGACAGCCGCCCCTCGCCGTCGATGAAGACGCTGTGCCGTTCGCCTCCCGCCGCCCTCGCCGGCGGGTTGGCCTCGAGCAGCAGCGCCGAACAGCACAGCCACCGCACGACGCAGCGCTCGCCCTCTGGCTGCGCCGGCAGCTCGAAGCCTCGCTCTTGCGCCCACAAGCGGATGCCCTCCTCCGCAAGCGAGGCGTGAAAGAGGAGCGAGACGGCCGCGACGCGAGCGATGTCGGCGGGGCTGTGGCAGCGAGAGAGGACGCGCTCGAGGAGCTCCCTGGGGAGGTCGAGGAGCCGGGTGGGCGGCGGCGTGTCTGGCGAGGGCGCGGCGGCGGCGGCGGCTGCGGGGCGGCGCGAGCTGCGACGCCGCGGTGGGGTGGACATCGCGAGAAAAAGACTTTTTTCCGCGATCGCGCTCTACGTACAAGCGATCCATTCTGCGGAAAAGAAAAGGGTGCCGCCAAAAGAAACGCCGGACCACACACTCACGCTGAAGAGCATCCCACCACTCACAAGCAAAGAGCAATCACCACAGGGTGCTGTCGTGTGACCAGGGATCACAGAGAAGGAAGGACCAGGGTAGTGCGATGCCCTGCTCGCTCGAGTACTGCAAGGGGCTACAGCGTGAGCACGCTCTCCTCGCCGTCTTCCTCGTGCTCAAGGCAGGCGCACTCATTTCCTATGTGACGCGGCAACGCCGGCTTGCCGCCAGATCTGCAGCCAGCGTCTGCGTGCTGCCCGTCTACTCTCGCCTTCTCCAGTACGAGGCCTTGCACAGCTGCCTTTGGGCCGCCACCTTTGGGTTCCAGGCCTACGTGGACGGTGCCGGCGCTCGTGACGCGGTGCAGACGGCACTGCTGACCACGCAGTACCTTACCGCCGCCTCCTGGGTCCTGTGCAGCGAAGGCCTGCTCCTCTTCCTGGCCGGGCGTGGCGCCGGCCTCGCCGCGCTCAGGCTTGCCACTCGCGCTGCCGCTGCTTGGGCCATTCTGCTCACCGCCGGCTGTGGCTGCGCCTTGCTTGCTTGGGCCATCCGCGTGCCGCAACCCTCCTCTCAGCCGCTGCAGCTTCTATTTGCGGCTGCCTGGGCGCCGTACTGGTCGCGTCTCTGTGTCAACATCGTCGCCTACCCCGCCGCGGCCGCCGCCCTCGGGATCCTCCGGCCCAAGCCCGCGTGGGAGCGCGGTGCCCTGCCTCTCTGCGCCTTCAACTCGCTGCAGGCTCGCTCGACCCACTGGCTCGCTCGACCCACTGCGCCCGGCCCTCCTCACTGCGCCCGGCCCTCCTCCCTGCCCATTACGCCCGGCCCTCCTGTCTGCCGGGAACGTATCGGCCTTCCTATAGGCCGCAGCCTTCCTGCTGCCCAAGCTATGCTCCGGTGTGGCGTCCGCGTGGCGGCTGGACGCCGCCGTGATGCCGATCAGCTTCGCCGCGCACGCCCCCTTGCTGGTCGGGATCCTGCAGCGCGACTCGGCCTACTGCTAACCCCAACCCTAACCCTAACCCTAACCCTAACCCTAGGTCTGGATCCTGCAGCGCGACTCGGCCTACTGGGCCCGCTCCGGCTTCGCCGCCTGCGTCGTCGGCGGCGAGGACGCGAAGGCGCACAGAGTGCCTCTGCTCGCGGCGCGGGCGGCGGGCGCGGCGCGGGCTGCGGGTGGGCAGCCCGCGCCCCGCCGACCGCGCTTCGTCGTCGTCGAGCCTAGCGATTTGCGCATCGAGCGGCCGATCGGGCGCGGCTCGTCAGCGGTGGTGAGCGCGGCGAGCTACTTTGGCGAGCCCGTCGCCGTCAAGCAGTTCGCAGTGGCCCACTTGACTCGCGACTTTGTCGCCATGTTCCTGACGGAAGCGGAGTGCCTCGCCCACTGCGCCCACCCGAACGTGGTCCGTTTCGTCGGCGGCTGCGTCGCTCCGCCGCTCGTCTGCCTCGTGATGGAGCGGTGCGACAGCTCCCTCCACCGCCTCATCCATGCCGCCGGCCTCGAGCCGACGGCGCCGCTTCCGCCGCTGCCGCTGCCGCTGGTGGGCTCGCTCTGCGCCGGCGTCGCCCGCGGCATGGCGTTCCTCCACGGCACGTGCGGCGTATGGCACGGCGACCTGAAGCCGCTCAACCTGCTCCTGCGAGGCGGCGAGGTCAAGATCTGCGACTTTGGGTCGTCGCGCTTGCTGGGGCGGCGGGCGGCAGCCTCCGGCGAGGGTGGAGAGGAGGCGGGAGAGGCGGCGTCGCTGTCGGAGGAGGTTGGCACCCTGCCCTACATGGCGCCCGAGCTCTTTTTGGTGCGCGACGGCGACCGTTTCTCGCCGGCCACGCGCCGGCACGGCGGCGGCGGCGCCTCAGCCGAGGGGTCGGCTGCCTCGGCGGTCTCGGCCGCGGCGACGCTGTCGGCGCTTCTGCCGGCGCCGCCGCCGCCCGCCAAGCGAACTGGCGCGGGGGAGGGGGTGGTGCCCTCCGCCAGCGCCGACATCTTCTCGTTTGGGGTGTGCGTCTGGGAGCTCTGCTCGCGGCTCTACCCGTGGCGAGCCCTCCTCGAGGCGGGGAGAGTGGACGAGCTGCGCGCGCGGGTCGGGCACGGCGCGCGGCCCGACCCGAGCAGCCTGCCGCCACCCCTGCGCGCGCTGGCCGAGGCGTGCTGGGCCGCGGACCCGGCGAGGCGGCCGAGCTTCCGCCAGATCGAGGCGCTCGAGCTCGAGACACAATTGCACGGCCACGCGGGCGGCGCGGCTGCTCTGCGCGCCGCCCTCGCTCCCGACGTCGCGGGCGGCTCGCCGCCGCCGCCCCGCGCGGGCTACGACCCGCCTCGGCTCGCCGAGGCGTCGAATCGCGCGACGCGCAGCGTTGCCGCCGCGGGCGGCGGGTGCGACCCGCCTCCATGGCTCGAGAGCATGGAATCCGGCCGGTACACGCCATACTCCTCTGCGAGCTACAGCTCGCGATGATCTCGTGTCGAATGTGAAACGGAAAGCGGAACCCTAAACCTACGACGCTACGTGCGCGGCCCGTTGTGACGGGCCCTGCCTAAGCGCTAAGGCTAAGCCCTAACGCTAACCCTAACCTACCTGCTCCTTACCCATCTGCGGGCTCCAACGGGGGGAGGGGGTACAGTATGACAATCTGGGTATTTACTGAGGTAAAAGAAGTGATATGTATGAAATGAGACGGAATACCCGGCACCGGGCACCGCCTCGGTATACAAAATGCGCCTGCGGGCGGACGCTCACATAATCACACCCTATGGGCACGGAGCCCGAACCAAGCTGGTCCGTGTTGAGCCCGCTTCGTTTCGATACACATCCCATGCGCTGGCGTCTCCCTCGCCTCCGCAGGGCGCCTCTGCAGGAGCTGACGCCACCGCCGGCGCTGGCCTGGCCGTGGCTGGAGACTTGGCAGGAGGACGACTGGCTGGCACGGGATCTCAGCACGATGGCTGCCGTTGCCGTCGCGCTGTTCCTGCTTTATGCGGGAAGCCGAACGCGGTGGCGCTCGCCCGTCTCGCCGCGCGGTCTGCTTGCGCTTCTGGCCACTGCGGTGCGGCTGCTGGTGCCGGGCGGCTGGCGGCGGCGCGGAGTGCTCTCCAGCCTCACCTTTCCCGCGCTCATCGAGCAGCTCACTCCGGCGTCGCTCGAGGCGATGCTGCGACACGGCGCTCCCGGCCTGCTTCCCGTGGGCGCACGAGTCGAGTCCGTCCACGCGCTGCAGAGCGGCGGCTTTGATGGCGTCAAGGGCGACAAGCACATCGTCGCAGTCTCGTATTCTGGCGCCGGCGCGGCGGCGCTGCCTCCACGCCTGTTTGTGAAGCTGAGCGCTCGCGGCGAGTTTGCAATGAAGATGCTGGCTGCCGCGACCCAGACCGCGGCGTGCGAGGCGCTCTTCTACCTGCGTCTCGCCGCGGAGGCGCGCGAGTGCGGCATCGCGAGCCCTCGCTGCTACTTCGCCGACTTTTCCTCGGCGGGCGAGTCGTGCCTGCTGCTCGAGCCTCTGTGCTTCGGCGGCGGCGGCGGAGGCGGCGAGGAGGGCGGCGGCGAGGAGGGCGGCGGCGAGCGCGTCGCCTCTCCGCCGCTGCTGCCGCCGCGGCACCGCGCGCGCGACCCGCCCTCGCTCGCCGAGCAGCGCGCCTTCGTGCAGGTGGGAGGCGGGAGAGCTGCGGGAGAGCGGGCCTCTGCAGCCCCCCTTGCGTGAGCCTTCTCGGAACTGTCCTGCAGGCGGGCGGGCGGCTCAACGCGCGGCTGTGGGGCCCGCACGCGCGAGGCTGCGCCGCCACGCTGCCCAGGTGCCGACGTCTGCCATGGACCTCTCTCCCCCCCACCCTTGCCTGACGAATTCATTAATTAACCCAGGTATGACGAGGTCAACCTGCCGCGCACCGCGATCGCGCAGCTGCTCGGGCTGGCAGGGCTGCGCCACTCCGCCCGGAGGACGGTCGGAGGTCGGGCCCTCAACGCCGCCTTTTGCACCTGGGACGTGCCCGCGCAGCTGGTCGGCCTCGAGCTCGAGCTGATCGCAGACTATTATTAGTACTATTATTGTTATTATTATTGTTATATTAGGTCGGCCTCGAGCTCGAGCTGATCGCAGACTTGCCCGACCTGCTCTCCGGGCTCTGCGCCGAGGGCGACCTGCTCGCCTACGGCCACAACGACATCGTCGCCGACAACGCATTCTTCTTTGCCCGCGCCAGCGGCGGGCCCGAGGGGGAGGGCGCCACCCTCGGCCTCTTCGACTGGCAGCAGGCCTGCCTCAACTGCTAACCCTAACCCTAACCCTACCCCTACCCCTAACCCTAACCCTAACCCTAACCCTACCCCTAACCCCAACCCTCTTTGACTGGCGGCAGGCCTGCCTCAACTGCGTCGGGCTCGAGTGGGCGGTGACGCACCCTCCCGCCTTATACCCCCTCCCCTACCCCACGGTACCCGAACCCACCCTCCCGCCTTCGACCCCCTCCCGCCCCTCGCCCCCACCCCCCTATCACCCCGCCCCTCACCCCGCCCCCCGTGCCGCAGTGGAACTTCCACTGGCTGCCGCCCGCCTTCCTCGCCGCGCACGAGGTCTGACCTGCTCGCCCCGCTCCTCCAAGACGGACTGTTAACTCACTGATTCCTAATGACCAGGCGGACCTGCTCGACCTGCTGCTCAAGACGTACGCCGCGCGAGGCGTCTCCGTCCCGCGCGACCGCTTCCTCCGCGCCTACGCAACCGCGGCCGCCTCGATGTACGTCTTTGGCGGGGGCGCCATCCAGCCGCTCCTCAAGCGGCTCCACCGACACGGCCTCCTCGAGGACCTCGCCCCGGACGACCACCGCCACGCCGGCGCCTTTCTGCACTCGCCACACCGGGAGGCGCTCCTCGCGGCGGAGATGACGCGCCGCACGCTCACCAACGCCTGCGCCATCATGCGGCGGCACGGGTTTGCGGAGCACTGGCGCGAGAGCAGGGCCAGGGCCTGCGTGCCCCAGGGGGCGTAGCGAGCGAGTCGGGGTCACTTGCGAAGAGAAACAAAGAACAGATGGTGCACTTGGGGAGTAAGAGGAAGAAAGTGAAATCAAACAAAAATCGCATAATCACAGATTTTAATTCTTGTCCCAGTAGAGGTGTCCGTTTTATTTACATGTATTTATCCTTTATTAATTCTTTTCCCAGCGTTGAGCAGGAGCGCGCAACGGCCATTTGCTCGCAGCTTAGAAGTCGCAGACGCCTATAAAGAAAAAACACCAAGCTAAATTTCGGCGGCTAAAAAGCAAAGGACGGGCGCTCTTGATCGGCAAAGCAAAGTTGGGGTAACGGCGACCGCGTCGCCACAATGCCAGTCGCCTGTCGAGCAGCCTTGGCGGCGCTCTATTTCATAAAAGTTTAATTTCTTTTATCCAGCGTTGCGCGCAACGGCCATTTGCTCAGCGCCCGGGCCCCGCCACCTCAAAGCAATGGATCCCATGACGATGCAGCAGGCCATGATGGACCAGGCTGTCAGCCAGGTCCTGAGCAATGTCGAGCGGGCCGTCGACGATGAGCTCGAGCGCGTCGAAAACATTACGGCGCGGCGGCGCCATCATCCGCGCTCTCTCTTTCGCGCGCCCGGCTGATCCCCGACTCCGATGCTAGCAGGAGGACGAGCTGGCAAACATTCGCAGGCGCCGCGTCGAGGAGATGAAGCGCAAGGCGGAGGAGAAGATGGAGTGGCAGCGGAATGGGCACGGAAGGATGGCAATTGTCGGCGACCAAAAGGAGTTCTTCTCCTACACCAAGTCGTCCGCACGCGTTGTCTGCCTCTTCACGCGCGAGTCGAACCGGCGCGCCTTCGCGCTCGCGCGCGGCCGCCCTCTCCGTCGCCCTCCTTCACACTCTCTCGCTCTCGCCTCCTCGCCGCAGGCACGGCAAGATCCTGACCGAGCACCTGAGCATGCTCGCGCAGAGGCACCTCGAGGCGCGCTTCATCTGCGTGGACGCGGAGAAGGCGCCCTTCATCACCGAGAAGCTCAACATCTGGATGCTCCCGACCATAGTATGCCTCAAGGACAACAAGGCGCGGCAGCGGGTCCGAGTAGCGCACAGCGAGCTGGGCCGGCCGCCTGGTGACACTGCTGCTGCCACGCCCACAGGTGCACAAGCAGCACAACGGGCTGGACGAGATTGACTCGTCGGGCAAGTACAGCTCCGGCATGGTCGAGTACCTCCTCCACCTCGACGAGATGCTCGACGAGGCGCCGCTGTACGAGCGCGAGCTGCAGGAGGAGGAGGAGGAGCTCGCCGACCTCGACGACTAGCGGGGCGGACCCCTCGCCCCTCGCCCCCCACCCACCCACCCCACTTCGGGCGGTCGCTCTACGCTTCTCTGCGGCTCGGCGCCGGTACTCGCTCTACGTTCGTGCTGTGACAAGGTGCCTCTGAACCTCTGAGTACTGACTGTGACTCTCTCCCGACCCCGCTGTGACCACACACAGACCCGGTCACGCTTGTCGGCACTTGTGCAGCCATCTCCCTCCCACGCCATCTGTGCATGCATGATGTGAGTCTCGCCGGAGGACTTTTTAATTTATTCCTGACAAAAGAGAGGCAGAACACGGAAGAGGGAAGAGAGTCCAAACAGAGAGCTAGAGTGTAGAGAGGCTGCGGCCAAAAAAATCTCCGCGCGGCTTGTTGTGCGAGTATGTATATGGGCCAAAAGCGTCGAAAATGTCCCAAAAAGCGTGTCTCGAGTTTGTGGCAGCCCCACAGCCGGCGCGCGCCGCCAGGAAGCACCGCTCGCGTGTCGGCCGCACTCCCTGGCACCCAGGGAGTGCGGCCGACCGACCAGACCGAGTAGGCTCGATGCCGCGCTCGCTGTGGGGCTGCCACAAAGTCGCCGCCGAGCGTGCCACCGACGGCGTCCCGGCGGAGGTGATGGAGTGTGAGACCTGAGGCTGCGGAGGTGACGCCTGAGGTACCGGCCCGTGCACGGCGACTCAGCCGGCGACCGCCACGGGCTCAGACGAGACTTGTCGACTCGTTACGGCTCAGCTTCACCGTGGTCATCGGGCGTCTGTCGACGTCAGGACCACCCATACAGCTCGCGGGTTTGAGGTCGCAAGAGCCAAGATGGTGGCGTTTGGACATCCCAGCCATCACTCAAGACAGCCTGTAGGTGATGGCGGGACGGCGCAGTGTTTGTGGCACTCGGCAGTAGGCACCCGCGGCACGGCCCTGCTGTCGGCTCTCGCGGGCTGCGGAACCGGCCCCAGAAGGGGACGGTCCGGGCGAGTGTGGCAGCTCCTGCGCTAGTATGGGCAACCTCTATCACAATACTACTGATCCTGGTCATTAGAGCTGCCAGGGATAGCGTCAGGAGCCGGTAGGAGTCAAAACCCCTCATATTTGAGACATCGTGGCCCATATACTCGCACAACGAGCCGCGCACCGCGCACCGCGCGCGGCGCGGCCCCCGCCCCGCCGGCCAACCGGCCCGCGCCGGCGGCGCGCACGTCACTCGTCGGGCGCACGTACGGGCCCGCCGGTCCGCGTGCGCGCCACGCCCACGCCGCGCGCCCCCGGTTGGCACGAGAGGGAGGGAAAACTCACAAGAGCGTGGCCCAGAGCTGGCAGAGCCGTGGCCCCCGGATGTGCCACCTCGTGCGTCGCTGTCAGTAGCGGCTCTGCAGCTCCAGCCGGGCATTCTTCTGAGCAGCCTCGTTGACCTGCGCCAGCAGCGCGGCTCGCGCCTCGTCGCCGTCGCCGCGCGCCTCCCCAAAGACCGAGCTCATCACCGCGTCCTGCTGCACCACTGCGGACGACGCCTTGTCGCGCAACGCAGCCTCCCCGGCCCGGCTCGCCACCGCCTCCCAACCGAACCGGACGCCGCCCTCGGCCGCCCTCTGCTGCTTGGGCGGAGGCCCCACCACGAGCTCGTCCTCGTCGTCCTCGCCGTCGTCCTGTGGCGAGAGGCGAGAGGCGAGAGGGGAGGGGGCTGGCTCTAATGGGCTCCGCGCGGGGGGGGCGGGCTGCGCATCTGAGCGGCGCCTCGAGCTCGACCATCCCCTGCCCCTGCTCCTCCGCCGCCCTTGCCTCGCTCGCCGCCCTGTCCGCCGGCCTGCCCGCTGCCTGGCCCGCTGCCTGGCCCGTCGCCTGGCCCGCCGCCGGGCGCGTGCGCTGCGCTGGCAGACCCGCCCGCTGCTCCGCCCGCTGCTCCGCCCGCTGCTCCGCCCGCTGCTCCGCCCGCTGCCGCTTGCTTCGCTCCGCGGCCTCGAGGGCCACCTCGCGCGCCGCGTTCCGCTGCTGCTCCGCCACCACGCGCTGGACCAGGTTCCTTCCTCCGATGGACTTGCTCCGCCGCCCAAACTCGGCCTGCAGCTCCTTCTGCTTGCGCAGCTCCGACCCGCCACACGCCTCGCCCGGCCGCAGCGCCTTTAGCTCCGGCGGGTGGAGCGGCGCCGCCGGCTCCTCCATCGACCGATCCTCGTCCATAAAGGACCGCTCGCCGCCGCCGCCGCCGCCGCCGCCCACGCCGCCGCCGCCGCCGCCCACGCCGCCGCCGCCGCCGCCCACGCCGCCGCCGCCGCCGCCGCCTGTCCTTCCGAGGCGCTGGGCAAAAGCCGTGCCGGCGCCCGGCGCGCGCGGCGCGAGCGGAGGCCGCCGCTGCAGGTGGCCGGGCAAGCGCGGCTGCGGGACGGGCCGGTTGCGCATCACGTCCGCCCGCTGCGTCGGCGCGAGCTGCGCCGCCTGCGCGAGGTGGCCCGCGCAGTAGGGCGAGTGCGAGCGGAGGACGAGCGCGCTGCAGCGAACGCCCGACGCGGCGGAGTCCGCCTTGCACCGCCCGAGGTTGGCAGCGTACCCCACCCGCAGGAGCTGCGGGGCGCGGCTGACGCTGCACTGCCAGTGGCCGGTCTGCCCACGCGCCTGCGGGATGAGCCGCGGCGCGAGGACGGCGAAGACCTGTCCGCGCTCCGCCCGCAGGCCTGCGCGGTGCGCCTGGTCGTGCAGCCACACGTGCAGCGAGGCGGGCCTACAGCAGGCAGGTCCAGGACGGGTCGGGGGAGGGTCTTGGTGCAGCCGCGCGAGCAGGTCGGAGAGGGCCGGTCGGCGCGCAGGTTGGAGAGGGTCCAGCGCGTGCACGGGTGGCCCTTGCCGGTCGTCCGCTGCTCGACGCGCGTGAGGATGCCGACGGAGCCCCACGCCGACGAGCAGGCGACGGTGTGCGCGCCGAGCGCGTCGAGCCGCATGAAGCGGCACCCGTCCGACTCGATCCGCTCGCGCAGCTCGCCGTCGCTCACCGCCCGCTCGCCGAGCCCGATGCCGGACAGGGCGCACGTCTCCAGCAGCGCGAGCCGCCGCACCGCTCCCTCCGCCCGAGCTTCCTCGCACGACGCCGCGGCACCAGCCTCCTCGCCGCCGGACGCCACCGCCGGCTGACGTGCCTTTGCCGCCCTCAGCTCCGCCGCACCACTGGACGGCTCCTCCTCTTCTCCGGCTGCCTCTTCCCCTCCCTCCTCCCCTCCCTCCTCCCCGCCCTCCCCCCCTCCCTCCTCCTCAAAGTCAAACTCGATCGGCTCGGCGCCGTCGTCGCCGTCGTCGCTGCTGCCGGCAGGCGCAGCTCGCTTCGAGTACCAGGGAGCGAGCCCGGGCGCCTCGCCGCCGCTGCGCTCCGCTGCAGCAGCCTCCACGGCCTCCATCAGCGCGGAGTCGTCGATCGCGTCGAGCTCGTCGAGCGGCGTGCGGCCGCTCTCCTGCGGTGGCGCCTCGTCGTCATCGATCAGGTTCACATGCACCGATGCCGTAACAGGGGCACCGCTCTCGAGCCTCCTCAGCTCAGCCTCCTCCGAGCGGTCCACGTCGCAGGCAAGCCTGCCGCGACAGGCTGCGCCGGGCGGTGGAGGGATCCGCTCGGACTTGGCCTGCCTCACCGCCGCGGCGAAGCGCGCGGCGACGACCTCACGAGAAGGCAACATATACACACACACGCACGTTGCGAGCTGGGCGAGGGATGTTGGCCAGCGATTTGGCGGGAGCCCGCGATTTCTCTTTTATTAAGTTTGCTTTCTATTTGCATGAAAAATCCAAATCCTCAGGGTAAAGTAAGATTTTCACTTAGAAACACAGAAAAAGAAACTCGAACGCCGCTGGTCGAGCCCGCTGTGGGACGAACGCTGCTCGCCAAGGCTCTCGGGTTGACTCGGCCAGACTAAAACCCCGAGTGGGTGCCTCGCCAGGGCTAACAGGACAACACATATGCCGCTCACGTTGCTCCTGCTTGCCTCCGCTCCCGCGTACGCCAGATCGCCGCGCGCGGCGCTGCGGCCGTACCACCTGCTCGGGAACGGGACGCTCCACCACGGCTCGCCGCGGCCGCAGGACACGCGTGCCCACCGCGTGCCGCTCCTCGTGCTCATCTTCAGCACCGAGGCCAACGGCGCACGGCGACAGGAGCAGCACCGCACATGGCTCAACCACGACTGGCGGGACGCGGCCGGCGAGCCCGTGCCGTGGCGGTACGCCTACGTGATCGGCCGGCGCGGCGGCGCCGCCGCCGCCACCGTTCCGCCCGACGAGCTGGTGGGCGACCGGCTGCACCTCGGGCGCGTGGAGGACACGTACCTCGGCCTGGTGCACAAGACACTCGAGGCGCTGCGGTGGGCGGCCGCCTCGGTCTCCTTCGAGGCCCTCCTCAAGACGGACGACGATTCGATCGCGCACGTCTCTCGGCTATGGGCGTGGCTCGGCGCCGCCGCCGCGCGAGAGGCGTCCGAGGCGAGTGCCTGGCGGTGGGGTCGCCTCTACGCGGGCCGGCTGCAGGTTGACTCGCAGGTCGTCCGCTCGAACTTCACCGCCGCCGACCTGTGGCACCCCTCTTGGTACCCCCGCGACTTTCTCAAGTGGGCGGTGCCGGTCGCCTCGTTCGGGGCGGACCGGTTTCCGCCGCACTGCTCCGGCGGCGGGTACCTGCTCGGCCGCGACGCCGCCGCCTCCCTCCTCGCCGAGCGCGCGCGCTGGGTCGCCGACCCCTTCCCCGTCGAGGACGCCTTTCTGGGCGTCCTCGCGCAGCGGGCCGGGCTAGCGCCAACCAACTTGGGGCCGAACCTGCGCGGGAGGCAGAGCGAGGGCTGCGTCGCCGGCGTCGTCTGCGAGGAGACCGCGCGCCACGCGCTCTTCGAGGACCCGCCCGCCTCGAGCCCGCAGGGCCGCGCGCTCTTCGCAGGCCGCATCTTGGTCCACCGCGTGAGCAGCTTCGAGCGGGCCTTTGCCTGGCTGCTGCTGGAGCCAAGGAGGAGAAGCCAGGGGCGGGCGCGAGGCGGAGGGTCGCAGCAGCGTGGCGGTGAGGCAGGCCACGTCGCAGCTATGGGGAGGTAAGAGTGCCAAAAGGATTGCTGCCGGCAAGACATAAAGGGTGGCTAAGGGCTCTGCCCGCAAGGCGCCCGCGTCGCCGACGCGGTACCATTGACTAATCCCGGGATTCACACCCACAGACCAAATAGCGAAAATCCGAATACCGAATACCGTGCAAAAACCACGGAATGTGTAATGTGTGTGAGACACGAAAAGAACGAGCAACGACCCACGGTGTAAAAGCTAAAACAAGAGTTTGGGTGTTTGCATGGCTAACTCCATATAACATGGACATGGGCGATCCAGCGCTTCCTTCGATTGGATGGACGAAATGATCGCGGAAAAAGCGGGAGCGCATCGCGACATCGGGGTTCACCATATGCCGAGCCTGCGCTCGGCCTGGCGCCTGCGCGCGCGCGCCTCGCCCGAGCGCAGCCACTTGCGGACCTGGCCAGCCTGTTCCTGGCTCGTGCCCAGCCTCTCCTTCCGCTGCCGCCGGCCTCGCAGTCCCGCCTGCCATCACGCTGCAGAGCCTGCGTAGACGCCACAGACGCCAATTCTGCAACCCACAGCCCTGTGGCACACTGAGGGCGAGGGCCAGCAGTATACGACGACGACGGCATCTCACACCCCGCGCTGGCCAGCGCCATCAGCCCCTCACGGCCCGGCCCAACCTCCCTTCGCCACCCTCGCCTCCAGTGCCTCCAATCAAGTCGCACCTCTCTGATCTTCAGCGAATGCAGCGGCAGCACCACGTCAGAGGCCGGGCCGACTGGCGGACCTGCATGCCCAGCCATGCCCCCCACTCCCCACCCGCTTGGTCCTTGGATCGATCAGCTGACAGCTCCACCAGCTCCCACCGCACCGCGTGTCGTGTCATGCTGAGGGAGGGTGTAGAGGATGTAGAGTGTAGAGCGCTGTAGAGCTGTAGAGATGTAGAGCGCTGGAGAGCGCTGGAGAGCTGTAGCGCTCTACATCCGGCGCGGGACAGAGCGATGCAGATGTAGAGCGATGTAGAGGCGCTCTACAACGTGAAATCTCTACAACAAACTCTACATCATAAGCGGCGAACGAGGCACGGTCGCTCTCCGACATTAGGCGCGTTGCACTTGTGCCAGTGCTGCCCTGGCCTTCTGTCTGCCCGCCCAATGGGTGGCAGGTGCCTCTGCTGCTGTGGCATGCCCCACGGCTGCGACTGGCCGGCGCCTCGGCGCGTCAGCTCGGCTCGGCGTAGCGATCGTGGCCAGCGCAACTCGCTTAGACTCAACGCTCAGCCAGGAGCTCCCGCACGCGCTGGCGCGAGTCATGGCGCATGCAACGCGCAGCAATGCTCGCCTCGCCTCGCGCAAATGCGACCGTCCTCGCAGCCGAGAGTCCACCGCCTGCTAAAGAAGCACAGCGATGAATGCGGCACCGGCGACGCATGGCAGGCTGGTCATGACGCAGTCATTAGGGTGTTGTGTGCCGTCAGAGTGACTCTGAGTGTGTGTCAGGGATATAGTCAGGGCTGTCCATCAGAGCTCCAGCAAGCTCGGAGACACCCCACTAGTGCGGCTCGACCTCTTTGAGTCACTGCCTTCCCGGCGGGTTTGCTGTAGAGCCTCTACAACAAACTCTACAGCAAAATCGCGCTCTACAGTGCTCTATACATCTACATCGCTCTGTCCCGCGCCGGATGTAGAGCTCTATACAGCTCTACAGCGCTCTACAGCTCTACAGCTCTACAGCGCTCTACACTCTACATCCTCTACACCCTCCCTCACTCAGGTGTCATGAAGCATGAATGATAGATAGACATAGCAAGCACATGAACCATCGAAGGGTCTGTCCAAAAAGAACTCTCGGCGGGCCGCGCGCCCCGCCCCTAGCCCCGCCCGAGTTTGAAAAGGGCGACGGACGCTTGCGTCCTAGCCTCCAACAACGCCTCCCCGGCGCAGAGGGCCCCCCGGAGGGATGCTCAACCGCTCCACGCCACGCCGTTTCCCGGTTATCTTTTATTTTCAGACAATTCCGCGAAAAACTTCGGTGTCGGTGTTTCCGTTTGATACGGCGGGCTCGGTGACGTCCTCAGCGCTCAGGAGCGAGGGGGCTTACTCCGCGCCCCGAGGCCCGACGTCGTGCCGTGGCCAATAATGGACATGCATTGCGACCAGACCACGGGTGTCTGACAGCGGCCCAAGCCCAAGCCCAAGCCCACGAAGCTCGACACCGCGTCGGCGCTCTCGGACCCTCTCCTCACTAGCGGGCCCCGTGCCGCTGTGAGCTCAAGCTCAGACGAGCGGCGCTCGCTCATTGTCTCCCTTCTCACTCTGGTGCTGTCCATCCCTGCGCTGATTGGGGCCTGATGCTGGCCTGCCCTCGTGATCGGACTCGTCAGCGGCACAGTCACTGCCGCTGCCCGAACACTTGGGCACATCATCTCGTTTTGTATCACGGCGATGATGCTTCTCTTCCTCGGAGTATACCTCTACCGCGCTGCGTCCACAGGCTCGCGTGCTTGGTTGGAGGCCCGCTCTCAGCGACTTGGACCTTTTGCCGTCCTCTGCCTTGCGGGTCCCCTCATCCTCGCCGACACAACGAGACACTTGCTCCAGGACTACGGGGTCTGGCATGGCTGCGGCAACAACCAGTACTTCTCGCGCATCAACACCTCTGACCCGTTCCCCGATGCGTGCTTCTGGTCGTCCAGTCAGTACAGATGCTCCGTGCCCTGCTGCGTGCCCGTGTGGCGAGAGCAAGCCAATGGTACCTATGGCTGGACACCACCCACGCCGGAGAAGACCTCGCCGAAGTTTGCCACGCTAGCCTCCAACGGCCGCGAAGTTTACTTTCCGCGAGGCTTCGACTTTGATGCGCCGCAGCCATACCGTCTCTACACGGCTCCGCTCGTCCTGTTCGAAGACAGTACGGTGCTCCTCTCGCGCCCGCCGGCGGCCCCAGCCGTTCGCCAGGCCCCTCCCAACCCGCTCTCATGCCCCTCCCCCGCGGCCAGGTCAATTCTCTGGCTCAGCCGCCAGTACGAGAGTCCGACTGCCTGTACGGTGTGAACGCTGCGACCGGCTACTGCAACGCCTTTGACGAGCACACAGCCGCGACGTGCTCGTGCGACTCGTGTGAGCCGAACGAGACTCTGTTCCGCCTGTCGCCGATGGGCTGGCTGTTCACCTTTGCCTTCACGTGCGCGCCGCCCGTTCGCCAGCACGATTGCCTGTTTTCCCCATCGAACGTGTACGTCGGCAGGTACTCTGGCTTTGCGCTCTTGTCGATCGCGGTGCTGTGGAACGCCAACATTCTGCAGAAGCTCGGCGACGTTGCTGCCAAGTGGCGAGAGCTGCGCGGGCGCATGTAGCTGGGGCATGCAGGGCCCTCGTGCTGACGCCGTGCGGCGAAACGCTCACTTATCCCAAGCTCGCCGGTATGAAGCCCGCGCGACCACACCCCGCCATCGGGGTCTCGCGTTCGGGCTGAGATATTCGCGGCGAGCATGGCGCATCTGAGGGAGCAGAGCGCTGCACGCGCGGCGAAGAGGAGGTGCCTGATTTTCTACACGATCTTAAAAATCATGTGAGCGCAGCGCCATACGCATACCCACAGGCGGCGGTAATTTCCGCTTCCGTCAATAACAAGTTGAAAGAGGCGCTTGTGTGTGAACGATCCCCCTCCGCGCGTCACATATATATCGATGACGATGTACGATGATCGAGACCACTTGAGCGCATATCTAGAGACCAGCGCGCTGCGCCATAGGAGGTATTTCCTTCTCAATAACTAGGTCTGTGAAGGGGCTTCCTCCAGCACCGCCACTCGCAACAGCTCTCGCGCGCCGCCGTCTGTGGCGACGCGCAGAACACGACATCAACAACGCTGCTCGCATAATGCGTGTCGCGCACTCATTGTCATTCATGACCGGTCTCAATGTCCCACCCCCCTGCGCGCGGGCCTTCTAGGCCCGCGGGTAGTCTCCCCCCATCCCCAGGGCCTCCAGGGCTCGCACCCCTCAACCTCTCTCATAGACCGGCGCACAGCGCTATATACACGAGGAATTTCCTTCTCAACCAGTGCGCAGTGTTAGTGCCAGTGCGCGCCAGTCCCGTGCCCAGTATCGTGCGAGGGAGTTTTGTTGGAGCACTTGTTGTAAAATTCTTCTCAAGAAAACTGTTGAAAATCGATTGGAAAAAGAAAACAGACAAGCCCAGGGAGGGATGGGAGGACGGCACGCCGCCACCACACAGGGATTTTAAGGAGAGGAGTGTGGTGCGGTAGCCGTCGCCCATCCTGGGGCGTCTGCTTCTTCCTATCTCTCTTCGCAGTCCCTCGCCGATTCTCGCTGCAACCTTCATGCCACCTCGCGGTCGTCCCACTCTCGTCGTTCTCTCTCCTGTCGCTTCATCCTCTGTCGCGTCGCTCTCCTCTGCCTCGTTCTGCGACGCCTGCCGCTCCCTTGCTCTCGCAGCTTCTCCCGCCTTTCGGCGCAACTCTGCCCTCCTCGCGGCATATTTTGGCCCCTCGAGTTTATCGAGCTCTCCTCGCGCAAGGACGACTCTTCTGACGCCCACTGCGATCATTTGCCGCCAAGGCATATCGTTGCTCAGTTCCACTCTCTCTTCGAACACTTGTACCTCCACAGATGACGCTGGCGCAGGGGTCCCCTTCGGGTGCATCGTGACAGCTGACGACGGGATTACCACTGGTCCTCCTCGGGTTCGTCTTCCCCGGCTTCCACCCGTCCGGCTCTACGTTCAGTACGTTCGGCGTGGCTCACCCTCCATGCCGTGAACAGGCGCTTTATCCACCCTATATTCTTCTCTCTCTCCTCTGCCCGTGCCTTGGTCTTGTCGTTGTTTCCTTTCGCACCCATGCCTGTATGGCGATCGAAGCTGCCTTCCCCACTACCTGTAGTTCACTCGTCACCTCTCCTGCGAGCTCCCCTCTCTTTCTTTCGGGTATGGAGTCCGTGAGTGCGGGCAGCGTGCAGGCAATCAATCACGGGCGCTATTTTGTCGTACTCCTCTTCGACGAGCGCTCCAAATCTAGACCCCATTGCCTTTAAGGAGGCTGCCCTCGCGGTCACGCGACTCAGGAAAATGGCTGTGTCTTTTGAGTCAGGCGCCGCCCGTTCGACTCTTGCTGTCGCCCTCGCCGTGTGTTTGTCAGCTTCCGCATGAAGTAACGCGCCTCTTCCTTATTTCCAGCGCATTTGCCGCTCAGTAGGTGCGCCAACGACGCCTGTGGTGGCTCACTGCCTTCTCGTGTCCAATCGTCCCAGTCCTCTCCGTTCTCCAATTCTCCTCCTTGCCTCGCGCGCCTCTTTTGCGGCCTCGTCCCTAGCCGCCTTGCACGCCCTGCATCCCCAAAACGCACTCCTCGTGGCGGGGCCCCTCATTCCCCGTTTGTTTTCCCCCTCTAGAATGCGCCTGTGGTGTGCCCCATGTGGCACCCCGACCTGTTGTCTCACCCTGGCCCCCAAGATCGTTTTGGTCGTCACATTGTGATCCCCGACGTCGTCAAATGTCGCTCGCCTGTCCTTCCCCCCGTTCTCGTCTGGTAATCTCATCTTATTATCCCATCGATGCTTGAGGCTGGCTACTGCCACTTGTTCTTCGCTCCACAGCCGTCCCGCCACCCCTGCCGTGTGCGATCCCGGCCTCACCGTCTTTCGATATTGCTCGCACACCCACTTGTGTGCGCTCTGACACATGTGCCCATACGTCCGTCGGTCCACTATCTCCCTCTTCTCTGTGTCCTCTGCCGCCTCCCTTCGCGCCGTGTACATGCATGGCCGAGTTCGCACCGCGTCCCGCACCACTTTTGAGGCGTCCTCTGTGTCGTTATTTCCGAGGTATGCTGCTGTCGCCACCGCGTCGGCGTATGCGTTGCAGGCTTTTCCCACGTGTGTGCTGGCACCCACATGAAGACCACCGCCTTTAGCTTCGATCTATAGGAAGCAATCGCCTCTAGGAGACCGCCTCTCTCCCAGTCCCTCAGGCCTTCTGGCATCCCTTTGCGGTGTGCGCGCACTGCGTCACGGATTTTTCTCTGATCACGGCGTGTGCTCCAGCCCTTTTCCTGTCCTTCGCACGACATGTCGATTGAACTCTTGCAGCGCGGTGACCTCGGGTACGACACCGCCCTCTCCAGCCTCGGCAAGCTCACCGCCGAGACGCAGGCGCGTGTGTCGCGTCGTCGCCCCTGGCGGCCGCCTGGCAGAGCTTCGGCCCGCGCTTCACGACACCGCCGCGCCTGTATTCAGGTGCAAGAGTCGCGGATGACCCTCGAGGAGAAGCGCGCTGATCTGCTCGAGGCGAAGGCTGCGCAGCTCGAGTCGGAAGTGCTCAAGCTGCGCGATCAGCACCAGCATGCGGTCCGGCAGCGTGAGGACGGCGCGGCGATGGAGTCGACGCTGAAAGAGGACCTCGTCTCGCAGGGCCGGCTGCACTCGCTGCTCGAGCAGCGGAAGAATTTGGCCGCCTCCGCCATGGGCTCGGACGAGGACGACGACCTCGACTCGCGTGCCGACCACTGGAGGCACGAGGTGAGGGCTCTCCCCGCCTGCCCAGCTCGCTCGCCCGGTAGCAGCCGACTGGACGCCCTCCTGGTCGAGCAGGTAGCGGCAATGAAGCTCAGAGTGGAGCAGGTGGGCGAAGCCATCCAGGAGGACAAGAACAAGCGGGCGTCGAGCGCCCTCTACCAGCTGCGCCACTCTGACAGCCACTTTGGAAACTACTGCACAAAGCTCGAGAGCGTGCTCGAGCCGTACCAGCAGGCCCGCGCCGCGAATCCAGCGGGCGGCCTGTCCGAGAAGGACGAGGCGGACGTGCTGCAAAATGTGCGAGAGGTGTTTGGCGTCCTGTGCGACGACCCCGAGTCGGGCGAGCCCGGCCTGTGGAGCCTGGCCGTCGATGAGATCAATCGGCTGGCTCCATTCGGCCACGACGCCATCATGAGTGTCCTCAAACTGCCAGCTCGCGACGACGACTCTGCCTCCGACGTTTCGATGGACGAACACGAAGACCGCTCCGTCTGCTCTGGGTACGCATCCTCGACGCCAAGCCATGCGCGTAGCGCCGCACCAGCGCCACTCGGCATTTTGGCGGCCAACATCTCGGCCGCCGCCACCTCGTGGCACGGTGTCGTGGCAGCCAACGTCGCACAAGCTTGCGCCGAGGAGGAGTCTGCTGGCGTTGCCGACCCAGCATGAGCTCAAAGGGCGAGGCAGCGCGGGTGAGGGGGCGAGAAGAGGAGGCAAGGGGGCACGGTGGGAGGGGGCCGGACGTTTCCATCTGTGGCCCCTCGCGTGCGCGTGGGCGTCGAACCACGACCGTCGTGCACCCCAAATCCCTCCGCTTGGACTCACCCAGACGCCCTTTCGCCCCGCTTCCTTCGCGCCTCCGACTGTGTTCGACGCCTGTCCGTGGCTCTGTGTGTGGCTGGTGCGTGTGAGGTGTGACGTGTGTGGGGTGTGGCCCAAAAAGCAAAATGTGGCCGCACGAGAGTGTTGTGACTCTCTCAGTATATGCAAGCGCGGGAATGGCGATCGGGTTTGGAGAGGGCGCGGTACCGAGGCAGAGCCGAGAGAGCCACACACCGCGCCTCTCGCTGGGCTCTCGCGGTCTCGCCCCCACCCGCCCCCCGCACGGCGCCGCCGCGCGCGCACCGCAAATCTCACATATCTCTCCGCGCGCAAAACCGCATCTCGGCCCGCCATCTCCTTTCTCGCGGCCGCCTCACGTCCTGCTCTCCGCCTGCCATACATCGAGATCTCTGCGGGACACCAGTAGATTTGTTGAGTGGAGATCGTAGATGCCGATCAGAGATCTTCCACACACAGCATCTCTCACAAAACTCAGAGATCTTTAACTGAAAATAGAGATCTTGAGCTGCCGCCATCGGCACCTCGAGATCTCAGGCCGGAGACGGAGAGGTTGACTTCGCGCCAAAGGCGCCTCGAGAATCGTGTGGCCGACTGGAGATTGCAAAATGGCGCGAAAAGAGGGTGGAGATCCGCTTGAAGGTGTGAAAGGAAAAGAGCATCCCCTTGGAAGGACGTCGACCCCCCCCCCCCCCCCTGTGACACGCCTCCCCCACGAGATTGGAGATTGGAGATCGGAGATGAAGATCGGAGAACGCGCCTCCTTGTTATATGAGCGCGCCGCGATGGAGCTCACCTCGTTGTGGTCTCTGGCATGACCGAGTTCGCCGCGAACCTGTATCCTCTAAAGACCGAGGAGGAGCTCGTGGCGCTCCTGAGCGGCATGCACCACTTCCCACCTGGCGTGCCTGAGCGTGCCCGTCGCGTCCATGAGCGGCTGCCCGCCGGGTCGGCACTCTGCTCCTCTGATGTCGGCGTGCTGATTGACCGGCTCGACACGGAGGGAGGCCTTGGCGGGTTGTACAAGCATCTCGCGCACACAAGGAGGACCCTCTACATTTCGTTCCGAGCACCAACACGGAGGCCGCGGAGCAGGCGTGTCGAGCCGCCCTCTCGCCCTGGCCTGCACGCGCGTTGCCCCCTTGTCACATGTGCGAGATGCACATGCACATGCACAACACATGTGCATGTACATGTGCAAATCCGCCTGCATAGGCCTTCGTCTTTCTCGCTCGCTCGAAGCACATCTTCCGCCACAACGTGCCACATGAATGAGGCGTCCTCCCCCCCCCCCCCCCTTCCTCCCCCCCCCCCCCCCTCACACAAAATTAGTTGTTGATGGCAGCGCGAACCACATATCTCCGATAACGCCCCCAGTTCGGCGTACATAGACCGCGCGCGCAGCGCGCTCCGTGTTTGCATACCGCCCTGGCGGACTCGTTTACACTTCCTAGCTCAAGCCAGGCGCCGCAGTGCGCAGGCATAAAGAGGAGCGCAGATTAAACTGGCGCCGCAGGCTCCCCGGGCCGTCCGCGCACCAGTCACCTTTAAAAAACAAAAAGATCATCACAGCGGCCTCTGTGATCTCCAATCTCGCCGGATCCAGTTTAGATCTCCGATCTCCATCTCCAATCTCCAATCTCCAATCTCGATTCGGGGGGCCGGGGGAGGGGGGGGCTCGAACCTTCAAGGAGACGTGCGCTATGGATTCCATTGAGGCCCATTCACACGGTCACACACCGCACTCTACTACTCTCTCGCAGAGATCTCGATTACTCCCGCCTGCGCTGGACAATAATGATAAATAAATTAGGACACGTTGCCTCTCTCGGCTGGTGACTCGTGCGGAGAGATCGCGCGCGTGCGACACATCGCACTGAGCCCTTCCGACCCCCGGAGAGACGCACGCACACATTACACTTTCCAGGGCCGTCGCCCCGGCACAATAAACATGTCCAAAGCCTCGTCCGCCGTTTGTGTCGCGCTACCAGGGGCCAGCGTGAGCTCGCGCAGAGTCCCCGCCAGAGTCCACCTACCGGCAGCGAGACCACACCGCCGAGTTGCACTTGAAGCCCGAGCCAAAGCCGAGCTGCATCACCTGTGCGGCAGGGCGGAGGGCGGAGGGCGGTGAGGTGGGCGGTGCAGACGGCGGCGAGCGGCGGCGGGGGCGCGCCTTGTGGCCGCGGCGGATGTTTGCGTGCTCCTCGATGTAGCGCAGCTCGTACCAGATCGAGGAGGAGGAGGTGTTGCCCCGCTCGCGCAGCACGGTCCGGCTCGGCAGCATGTCGTCCGGGTCGAGCTTGAGGTTCTTCTCGATGCCGTCGAGCACCGCGCGGCCGCCGGCGTGGATGCAAAAGTGGTCGATGGCGGCCTTGAAGGAGGGGAGGTACCGCTTGGGCGAGCGCCTCAGCAAGGACCACACAACGCGCAGCTGCTCCGAGAGGGGAAGCACGAGCGGGCCGAGCTGCGTCAGGTTGACCTTCATCGCGTTGCCCGCCACCTCGACGATCTTCTTGGAGAGCCGGACGCCCGTCGCGCCCGAGCCGTCCTCGCACTGGAAGACGGCGGAGTACGACTCGTCGTCGGTGATCTGCGTGCGCACCAAGTGACGGAGGCGGTACTTTGCACGCCCGATGAGCGACGCCTTGTTTGTGAGCGCGACTGCGGCGCCGCCGCAGCGGAAGAGCGTGTTCTGCAGGAGGAAGGCCTGCGGGGGTCCGGGGGAGGGTTGGGGCGAGGCCGCCGCAGCGGGAGAGGTAGTGAGAGGCAGTGAGAGGGAGTGTTGCGGGGAGGAGTGCCTTCTCGTGGCCGTGGTAGAGGGACTGGGTGATGAGCTCGGTCGAGACGACCACCGCGAGCGAGCAGGGGTTGTTCTGCAGCAGCTCCGCCGCCAGGTCGACCGACAGGAGCGAGGCGGAGCAGCCCTGGCCGGAGAGGTTGAAGGTGCGGCAGTTGGAGCGGAGGCCGAACCGGTTGGAGGCCATCGCGCAGAGGGAGGGGGTGGGCGAGAAGAGGGAGCAGTTGATGATCAGGAAGTCCACCTGCTTCGGCTTCAGGCCCGTGCTCTCGAAGAGCCGCTGCAGCGTCGAGCAGATGACGGTCTCCGCCTCGTGCCTCGCCGCGACCATCGTCTGGTCCTGCTGCTTCGTTGGGTCCTCGCACTGCAGGATGCCGGGCGGCCACGCGGTCGCGTCGCCGGTGCCCGAGTTGCCGAGCACCTTGGCCATGAACTCGAGGTCGGGCTCCTCGTACGACTTCATCGACCGCCCAATGTTGTTCATCAGCTGCACGAGCTCCGCCTGCGACTTCTTCCACTCTTCGGGCGGCTCAAAGAGCGAAAAGTCGAGCAGGTAGACCGTCGACTTGCGCCGCAGCAGGTACGTCACCAGCGCGGCGACCGCGAGCGGCCACATCCATCCGCCGGGGTAGTTGAGGCAGGCGAGCGCGGCGTCACCCACGCGCAGCGCAGCCGCCGCCTTGGCCGCCTCCTCCACAGCCTTGCCCGCCGCCTTTGCGTACGCCTTTGGCGTCTCGACCTCGGGCTGGACCGGCCCAACGTTGCGGTAAGTGACGACTGCGAACTGGCAAGCGAGCGCGAAGCAGGTGATCCAGAAGACTGAATCCATGTATCGAGATCGGAAGACAGACCACCAATCGCGGAGGACCGTGAGCCGCACACGGATGTCTGGCTTGTACGCCACCGCTCTCTGGGCTGTCGTCTTGGGCGAAGACGCCCTCGAGGCGCGCTCCGACGACTCGTTCGGCGCACCGCGACGGCGGAGGCCCTCGTCTTCCGCCATCTGCCTCTGTGGCGATGGCTCTGAGCTCCGGCCAGGGTTGCCTTGGGCTGTTGGGCTGCTGGGCCTCGATTTCTTTTGCCTTTTTGGCGTTGGTCCTGCCTAGCTGTTACTTCACCTTCTTCCACCTTACATTTCGATAGCTCCAAGACAACTCGCAAGGGAGAAACAACTCTCGTCATCCCTGATCTCAGAAACAATCCTGTCCTGTGATGATTGAAGACTACTCGAGTTGGTCCGAGGTCCCTATCCCTCCCCCCCCTCGTCCCGCTCCTGCGAACAGCCGAACACCGACCTAGCCGCGGTTCGCGTCTGCAATCTGAAGGAGGGAGTGGCAGCCCTCGACGAGCGAGGAGCAGTCGAAGCCCTGCACGAGCGCGAAGGTGCGCAGCGCCTCGTGCAGCAGCTCCGCGCCGAAGGCGTAGTCCTGCGCGAGCAGCGCGAGCTCGCCCGCCGTCTTGAAGAAGACGGCCACCTGCGCAGGAGCAGCGGCGTCAAGCAGGCACTCTCCCCCCCCCCCCTCCTCTCGCCGCGCAGGCCGACACCACCGTCCCCGGGTCCGCCGCCTCGTGGTCGCGCGTGAGCCGGGCGCGCGCGGCTCGGACGAGCGGCACGTGCGGCGCGAAGGCAGCCTCGAGCGCCGCCAGCTGCGTGGTGCGCCCTCCGTCCTGCGGCCTGCTCTGCGTCGCCTGCTCCATCTGCGTGTCCTTGAGTTGGGAGAGCAGCTCCCAGACGGACTCGAGGTGGAACGCGTCCTTTGCCGACTCGCGCTCGAGCGCACCGCGCAGCAGCGCGATCGCCTCCCTGCGGCGCGGCGCGCCCTGCGAGGCGCGCAGCTTGCCGAGCGACCCCATCGCCGAGGCGGTGAGGGGAGACGCCTGTCAGCTGACGGATGAGATCACCGGCTCAGCAGGTGCGAGCACACCCTCGGTGCACGCGAGTGGAGACGCCTCGCCACACGTCTTGCGGAAGATGCGCAGCGCCTCCGCCATGTGCTCCGCCGCCTCGTCGTCCCGCTCGAGCTTGCGCAGCGCCTTGCCGACCGACATGTGCGCCTTGGCGAGGATGGACGCGTCCCCGACCCTCCCCCCGCTCGTGTGCTCCTTCTCGTAGTGCTCCAGCGACTGCAGCAGGATCGGCAGCGCCTCGCCCACCTTGCCTACTCGAGCTCACCCGCGAGGTCTCGCCGCGCGCCAGCCGAGCACGCCCCACCCCGCCGCCCCTCCCCGCGCCCAGCCGCTCGCGCACGAGCCCGAGCCCCATGTAGATGCCTCCGCGGTTGCCGAACGAGCCCGCCTCGAGCAGCGCCACCGCCCTCTCAAAGTACTGCTCCGCCTGCTGCAGCTCGCCGAGGGACGAGTAGGTGTGGCCGATGTTTTCGCACAGCGCGGCCGAGGCGCCCACAATCTCCTGCTGCCGCAAGAAGAGGCGAAGCGCATCGCGGAAGCGGTACTGCTTCCAGCGGCAGAAGGCGGAGGACTGGAGGTGCTTGACGCGCCAGTCGCCGCCCAGCGCCTCACAGGCGTCCGCAATCTCGTCGAGCACCTCGTCGGTCCGGTTGAGCTTGTACTGCCCGATGAGGCAGTCGAGGAGCTGGAAGGCCTGCTTGAGCGTCCGCTCGTCGCGCAGCCCGCGCCGGCGCCGCAGGTTGGCGAGCCGGCGCTCGTACCTCTCTTCCTGGGCCAGCGTCTCCTCGGGGTCAGACAGGACGCCGCCCTCCGAGTCGGCGCCCGAATCGTCGCCGCTGCCGTCGGCGGCGGAGGCAGCAGCCGGCGAGGGCGCCTTCTCCTGGGACACAGCGAGCGTCTCGAGCTCCTCGTGCAGCGGCGCCATCGGGTTTGACTTGGATGCGGCGGGCGCGCGAGCGCCCTCTTCCGACATGAAGGTGGCCCAAGCGTCGTCGGCGCGCCGCGTCTTTCTTTCTACAGCGTACAACAAAACGTGACAAAACCTTTAAGCTCACTGGAGAAAAGGGAGAGCGGGTTGTGTTCTCTAGGCCCTAAGGGCCCTACGCGCGTCTCTCTCTCTCTCAGTGTATGTAGCTCTTACGAACATACCTCTTTGGTTCCGACCAAAAATCCGATGCCTGCCTGCCTGCCGTGCCTGCCCGGACGTGCCCGCTCGCTCGCTCCTATCCGTGCCACGCCTATCCGTGATCCTGCCGTTATCGCGCCGTCCTTGCTCCTCCCTGCCGTGCCGCTCCTTCCTCCGTGCCGCGCCGCCCTTGCCGTTTAGCCCGCCGCCCCCCCTGCCTGCCGTCCGTTACCGCCGTGCCGCCGTGCCGCTCCTACAGTGCCGTTGTCCCGCCGTCCGATGCCCTGCCTGCCGTCTGTTGCCGCCGCGCCGCCTTACCGCCGACCCTTACCGTGCCGCGCCGGGCGGTAGTGATCTAATCACCCGAATGCAAGAAAGAATAATAAAAATCCAAGTGCTCCAAAAATCTCTCTCCCGTGTGAGTGTTAGAGAGAGATTTTTAGCAATACCTTTATGTGATGTTACAGGTGGGTTAAGAGGGAGATGTGCGCGAGCTGCGGGACCGCCGGGACGGCGGGCGGGTGCTTGCTCCTTGCAACACGCCGCCACTTTTGGCGACTTTTGGGACGCGCGTCGATCGGCATGCAATACCAAACAACTCTAACACTCACACGTAATTTGGGGCCTGTTAGAGTTGTTTGGTAGAGCTCTATTGCTAAAAATCTCTCTCTCGAATGCTACGTTCGGATCGCTTCTCATCGCAAAAAAACAAACAAACCCTTCAGCAGTTCACCCTCGGGTACTCGAGTATGTTCGTAAGAGCCACATACACTGGAAAAAATATTCGCAAAGAAAGAAAGAAAACACACCCACCAAGGGAGGGATGGGAGGACGGCACGCAGCCACCACACGGGGATTTTAAAAAGAAAGAAAGAACGAGAACACAGACAAACCCAAACGAGGGATGGGGGAGGAGGACAGGGTCCACACCTGCACGAGCAGGATTAAAGAAAGAAAAGAAAGAAAACACACAACCCAAGGGAGCAGGATTTTGGAAGGACGACAGTCGCGATAATTTCTTCCTTCGCCTCTGCGGCGTCGGCCGCTGTTTGGCTGAGCCGCGCTGAGATCTGGTTACGACCGCCGCTGGACAGGGTAGAGAGGGCTACTTAGCCAATGGCCGAGCCACCTCCTGTCCTCTATCCGGCGTCGCCCGATTCAGAGGCCAAGGTGTCGGAGTGCGCCGGGTCCCAGTTCAACGTGCGCGTCGGGCCAAACTATGCAAGGAAGGGCAATAAGGTGTGTGCTCGCTTGCGCGGCGCTCTCCAGCTGCCAGTACCTGAGTTGTCTCCTGTGCCCGCAGAGTCCCTCGGATGACTCGATGTACCACCTATCATCAGTGCACATGTTCAAGGCCGAGTCCTGCACGAAGCACTTGCACATGGCGCGCCTGCCGCCGCCTCCGGCACCGCTGGGCCAGCGCGTCGGCCCTGACGCGGCGCGTGTGTTGTCGCTAGGCTACACGGATGCCGCTGCCGGAGCCGCTCGTCCCTGCCGACAGCCCAGGCCTGCCGCTGCCGCAGCTGCTCGTCGTGACGCTGGTTGCGCCCGAGCAGGGGCCGGCGACCGTGATTATGATTGTGATTACTGCTACTGTGATGATGGTGATTAGGTTGTGCCCGAGGAGGGGCCCGCGATGTTCGGCGGCAAAGAGGCGCGGGGCCGCCCTTAAGACGTGTCCGTGTGGCTCCCTGGCACGCCCCAGCGCGAGGGCGAGGGCCCAGCGCCCAGCACCGAGCGCCGCCTCCAAGCACCCAGCCCAAGGAGGGCGAGGCTTGGGAGAGGAGTGAGAGGAGTGAGGGGAGTGGCCACAGGAAGCGAGAGGGGTCCCCTCCCGCTGCGCTGCGCAGGACGGAGGGCCGAGCATGAATTGCGTGATGGTCTTCCAGCTCAAGGAGAAGACTGCGGAGGACGCGGTGCGCACACACAGACGGAGACAGACAGACACTCACACACGCACGCACGCACGCACGCACGCACGCACGCACGCATGGATCGAGGCAGAGAGACAAAGAGAGAGAGAGAGACACAGAGGGAGACAGAGAGACAGAGAGACAGAGGAGACAGAGAGACAGAGGAGACAGGGTGGAGCTGAGCCTCCTCCCTGCCGAGGCCTCCCTGCCGAGGCAGCGAGCTCCCTCCCCCCGCGGCGATGTCGAGAGCATGCGCGGTGTGCCGCAGGCGAGCGAGGCCCCCTCCCCCGCGGTGGCGCTGCTGAGCCGCTACTATAGCATGAGCATCGCAATCGCGAGTGGAGGCGAGCCCGCGCGCCCTCGGCCCCTGCAAGCCGCCCCTCGCTGCGCCGCTTCAAGGGAGGAGCCGCCCCCCCCGCTGGGCAGGGAGCCCGACGGGCGCCGAGAAGAGCGAGATCCAAAAGATGCGGGCTTGCTTCAAGCTCATCGGCCAGGCGCGAGAGAGCCTCCGAGACCGTCTAGAGACCGAGGGCGGCGGGTGGTAGTCTCTAGAAGGTGTTAGTCTCTCCGCTCCCCATGCTCCACATCCCATGCTCCACATGCGGGCAACGGGTCAGCTCGGGGTGAGCTCGGCTGATCTCGGGTAATCTCGGGTGATCTCGGCTGATCTCTCGGGTCCGCAGGCCAGCAACTTCTCCGACCTTGGCCTCCCCGCGATGCTCGCGGGCTACAACGGGAAGCCGGCGACCGCCGCCCGCCGTCAAGCCTCTCCGCCCGCCTCGCCTCCTCTCTTCGCCCCGCGCCCTCTCGCCGCCCCTCGCCCCGCCCCTCGCCCCCGCGACCTTCCCACCCGCCGCCTCTCCACCGACCCTAACCCTCACCCCAACCCTACCGCCTCCCTCCGCCGCCTCCCTCCCCCGGCAGGTCTTCATCAACAAGACACTTCCGGGACACTTCCAGGACACTTCCGGGACACCTCCGAGACACTTCCGAGACACTCCCTCCCTCCCCCGCAGGTCATCATCAACAAGACCGGCGAGCTGCACCAGGGGAAGGCGCCCGCCCCTCCCCCTCCCGCCACTACCCCTCCCCGCCCCTCCCCCTCCCGCCACTACCCCTCCCCGCCCCTCCCCCTCCCGCCCTCCCCTCCCGCCCCCACCCTCCCCGCCCCCACGCCCTCCGCCAGTCCTCCTCCGGCGCGAGCTACATGGAGATGGACATCCTCGTCCACAAGTGGCAGTACATCGCACGCAAGGGGCTCTACTCGATCAAGGCACCGTACCACACCACACCACCGCACCGCACCGCACCGCACCGCACCGCACCGCACCGCAACCGTCTCTCACAGCGTGTCAATACTGTGCGCGAGGGGCGGCACTCGGATCAAGGCGGGAGGGGGGGAGCGGGGCGGGAGGGCGCCGCGGCCTGCAGTGCCGTCAATCGCATCGGACCTCCTCTTCACACCTCCTCTTCACACCTCCTCTTCACACCTCCATCCCGAGCCTGCAGTGTTGTTAATCGCATCGCACCTCCGCCCCTCACGACAGCCTCAAGCTCCTCGGCTATGAATGAGCTTCTCCTTCACGACTCAGCGGTAGCTCTCCGCCCCCCCCCCAGGAGCACTACTGTAAACTCGACGCCGAGGTCGGCTTCGTGATCCAGGGAGAGGCCGACAGCGAGCTGCCTGAGCGGGCGCCTAGCCACCCAGCCTAGCCACCCAGCCTAGCCACCCAGCCTAGCCACCCAGCCTAGCCACCCAGCCTAGCCACCCAGCCTAGCCACCCAGCCTAGCCACCCAGCCTAGCCACCCAGCCTAGCCACCCAGCCTAGCCACCCAGCCTAGCCACCCAGCCTAGCCACCCGGCCTAGCCACCCGGCCTAGCCACCCGGCCTAGCCACCCGGCCTAGCCACCCAGCCTAGCCACCCGGCCTAGCCACCCAGCCTAGCCACCCAGCCTAGCCACCCGGCCTAGCCACCCGGCCTAGCCACCCGGCCTAGCCACCCGGCCTAGCCACCCGGCCTAGCCACCCAGCCTAGCCACCCAGCCTAGCCACCCAGCCTAGCCACCCGGCCTAGCCACCCGGCCTAGCCACCCGGCCTAGCCACCCGGCCTAGCCACCCAGCCTAGCCACCCAGCCTAGCCACCCGGCCTAGCCACCCGGCCTAGCCACCCGGCCTAGCCACCCGGCCTAGCCACCCGGCCTAGCCACCCAGCCTAGCCACCCAGCCTAGCCACCCGGCCTAGCCACCCGGCCTAGCCACCCGGCCTAGCCACCCAGCCTAGCCACCCAGCCTAGACACCCCGCCACGGGCAGCCGGCGCCTCGCACCCCAACCCCCCCCCCCCCCCTCGCCCCCCGCTCTCGAGCAGATGCTGGGCGCCGTCGAGATCAACGGCGTCGACCCGACCCTGCTAGCGAAGTGGCCCTCGAGCGGCGATGGCGACGGCGATGCCACCGGCTCCGGGACGTGACCACAATGAGGGGTCGCCCGTGTGGGACGCTCCTTGGCATCGGCGGGTGGGAGGACGGAGCCAGGGCGCAGGAAAGCGCGAGCGACTCAGTCGCTGTGAGAGCTGAGACGGCGAGAGGCGGTTGGACGTGGCGGGGGTCGCGCAATGTGCTCCCTTTGATGTGTGGCGCGTGTAGCCGGGCAGGCTGTCTTTGTCTCTCCACGGCTGTTCTCCGCTCTCCTCATCTCTGCGCTTCCTCCTGCTGTGGTCTGTGTGCACTCCTGCTCTCGGCTCTCGCTCTTCGGTGGTCTTCGCCGCTTCGTGTATGTGTGTCACAGGACAGCACACAGCGGCACTCTCCACGCGCACGCCCGAGGGCGAGTCCCAGGCACCACAACAACTAAATAAATAGCCGTAAGAAATGCGTGACCAGACGAGTCTCTCGCGTCTCGGTCTCTGTGCTCTTCTGGACTCGGCTGTGGCCTGTGCGGTGCTGTGTGCAGCGCCTGCACTCGCTTCTGGAGAGAGCTCTCCGCGGCGAGAGAGCGTATAGCTAGAGCGACGTCCATATCACACCACTCACCAGCAACGAGCAACACACACGATCGGACACACGCACACACACACACGAAACGTAAAGAGCGCGCGCGTATAACTCGACGCTCTCTCTCAACACTCAAATCTCAAAATAGATAACACTCCTGTCGGTATCCCGCGCGCTGAACGTACTGTATTTTCTCTAGGCTCGCTCGCGCCGCCAGCCTTCACTGAGGCTCCAAGGACGGCCACTCTCGGCCATGGGGCGCAGGAGCACATCACGTGTCCGCCTCGCTCGGCGGCTGGCCCTGGGACGACTCGCTCAGCCCGCCAAAGAGGGCTGCGGCGGCGCCCATCATGCGGGCGGCGATGTCGGCGTCGTCGAGGTCCGGCTCCTCAAGCCCCTCCTCAAGCCCCGAGAGGGAGATGAGCGCCGGCTCGGCCGCCGGAAGGCAGGCAAAGGCGGGCAGGGAGGCGGAAAAGGAGGCGGAGAGGGAGGCGGGGAAGGAGGCAGGGAAGGCGAAGGTGTCGACGGGCGGATCAGACCCGCCGCGGCCTTGCCGGGACCTGCGGCCGCCGCCCTGCACCTTGTAGCCCTGCACCTTGTAGCTGGCCGTCTCTTCGCTGCCCCAGCCGAGAGGCAGGGAGCTCGCCGAGCGGTCGCACGCCAGTGCAGGTCCCTGGTCGCCGTCGGAGGAGGCGGACTCGTCGCTCGCGGGCTGCTGCGCCCGCGCCTGCTCTGCCGCCTGCTCTGCCGCCGCGCCGAGCCGAGCGTGAAGGTGTGCGAGGCCGGCGCGAGCGGAAGGGTCGAGCGCCGCGTCAGGCAAGGCCAGGACCTGGCTGACGCCGCTCGTCAGCTGCGGACCCGCCCGCAACGGAGGGTCGAGCGACAGGGCCGCGGTGGCAGCCTCGACCGCCTGCAGCAGCTGCGCCTGCACCGGGCCGAGCAGCAGCAGCGCGCGGAGGCCGCCTGCGAGGCCCGCGTCGGGCACCGCGCGACGCGCCATCTCGAGCACCTCGCACAGAGCTGCCTCGCCGGCGGCGAGGGCGGCGCCACCGAGAGCTGCTCTGCACCGCTCCAGCTTGCTGCACAGGGCCGCCTCGGAGGCGGCGAGCGGCGCCTTCCCGCGCCGGGCCGGCGGCGAGGGATTCGCAGCCGACGCGGCAGTGGAGGACCGACGCCGCTTCACTGGCGCCGGCGCGGGAGCAGGAGCAGCCGACCGGCGGCGGCAGCGAGAGGCAGCAAACTCGAAGATGCAGTCTCCCGCGTGCCGGTCCGGCAGGCAGCAGCCGTTGATGCCGCAGACGACGTACCCGACAGACTCCTCGAGCCGGCGCCGGTCGTCGCCCATCCCACAGCGTCGTGCGCCACCCACCGCAACTGGGCTGATCTTTGGTAAAAAAAGATTTCGTGCGGGGCACTCATGACCCGACGCTGCATCTAGAGAGACGTCGTAATCATCAAAACCTCTTCTCTCTCTCTCTCCCCCCTCCCGTACATTTCAACACGAAAACAATTTTCTCTTGCGAAAGCTCTATGTGTTGAGAGAGAGAGATTTTTAGCAATACCAAATGTGTTTTGTTTTTGACACAACGCAGGTAGGGAGAGATTTTTATTAAAGATGCCCTGCAAGTATAAGCGCGTTTGCTATTCGAAATACCTGCGTTTCCTGTACAGGAAGCGACAGCCTCCAGACACACACCTCATACACACATATGGAGCCCCTCTCTCGCCCCCCTGGCGGCGGCAGTTGCCATGGCGACGCTGACGGCGGTGGCACTCGTGGGACGTGGCGGTGACACTCGTGGCCGCGGCGGCGCCTGGGCAGCAGAGAGCTGTCGCTGCAGTGCTGGCGGCAGCTGCGGCGGCGGCTGGATGCGGCGGCTGGCGGCGGCATTGCTGGCGGCGGCCACGCGGGGGAGGCGTTGCTGTGGCGGCGATGCAGCGCTGTCCTCGCGGCTGACGTGCGCCCGGGATAGCAAGCACTGGCAGTCTGCCGGCGCGGCCGGCGCATTCGAATGCGCCCGCCGCGCCGGCAGACTGTTGGATGGCCACAGTCGCGAAAGTGGGTGAAGTCCGTGCGGCGCCGTGGCAGCGGTGGCCAGGCGGCCCCTCTCGGTGCGCCACCGCGACCGCGTTGCGCTCTCGCGCCTCGCCATGCTGCAGGCTGGACGAGGGACATTTGTCGCGACTTTCAATAGGGAAAACGCAACGCATCTTGAATATGCCTGCAGGGCATCTTTAACCAACAAGAAATCACGACTCTCACAGTGATTTGGGCTCGGCAGCTTGTTAGCCCTCAGCCGAAGCTGGGGCCGGTCCCGTAGCCGAGAGAGCCCGCGCCGATGAGTTCGACGCGGTCGGGGGGGCCTGCGGAGAGGCCAGCGAGAAGGCGATCGCTGTACTTCATGGTGTCATCAAGTTTCTCTCTTCCAGGTAGGTAGGTAGGTAGAAAGGTGAAGAACAGCCAGGCTCGGACTGGACACCAACGCGGTATGGGAGAGAGAGAGTACGGGTGGACGCTAGACAGATGATGACGACACGCACGAGCGACACACAGACACAAGAAGCTGCCGAGCCCAAATCACTGTGAGAGTCGTGATTTCTTGTTGGTTAATAAAAATCTCTCAGACACAAACAGGCTCACAAGACACACGGCCAGCGGGCTGCCACACACCCTGAGTAGGCGTACACATAACTCAAGGCCACATCCTCCCTGTCGCCCCCCCCAGCACTCCAAGGTGCCAAGAGAACAAACAAGGGCACAACGCAACGGTTGCGACCCTACCCTACCGGCAGAGGACGTGAAACCCTGCCGGGCGGTTGAAGGGACGCTGCTTTGAGAAGAAGATGGCCGCGGGCGGAAGCATCTCAAGCCTCCTCGAGACATGGCGGCGTGCGGACGAGGGCTTTTCAGCGCCGCGCAGCCCGCCCGCAGCGTCCGCGGGCGCGTCGAGCGGCCGTCGGCGAACGCTCTTCGCAGAGTCGCGGCAGGCGGAAGCAGAGCCTCTCGCTGCAGGCGACACCGCTCTCCACTCACTGCGCCTGCAGATCGGCCGCCTGCTGTCGGACGCGAAGCAGCGCGAGGTTGAGATGGAGACGCTGCGGACGAGGCTCAGCTCCGAGGCAGAACGAGACGCGAGCCAGGAGGTCGACCGCCTGCATCACGAGGCGGCCGGCGTCCGCCGCGCCCTGCAGCGCCGGACCCGTGCGAGGGCCTACTGCCGGTTTGCCTGCCGCCGCAGGTCGCCCGCCTGTCGTGCGCCCTCGACCGCTCGAGCGCACCTCGCGGCAGAGCACCTCGCGGCAGAGCAGAGGACGTGTCGCACGAGGAGGAGGAGGGTGCGCTGGCCTCCTCTCGCGCCCACCCTCCCCGCCATCCGATCAAGCCGCCCCTCCCGCCGCTCCCGCCCAGGCGCCCTCCGAGGCGCGACCGCCTTGATCGCGCCGTCGAGCGAGCGAAAGGCGCAGACAGCGGCAGCGACTGACAGACAGACTCAGAGACAACACAGAGACAGAGACAGGGCCCGCCGTGGAATTGCCCCGCCGAGGCGGCTGAGACGCCGCCCGCGCCTCAGGCGGACGTCGCGTGCGAGGCGCGCAGGCAGGCGAGCCTCGCCGCCTCAAAGATGAAGGCGATGCGAGCTGCTCTCGCTGAGTCAGCAGAGATTATTATTATTATTGTTATTGTTATTATTATTATGAAGGCGATGCGAGCTGCGCTCGCTGAGGCGCGCGCCGGCGCAGAGGCGGCGCAGCGGCAGGCGCGGGCCGCGATGGAGCCGCGATGGAGCCGAGATACAGCCGAGACAGCGCAGCAGCAGGTGGCACCGAGGCTGTTCGGGTGACGCCCTCCGTGCCGGCGTCCAGGTGGGTGAACTCGAGGAGGAGCTATTATTATTATTACTACTACTATTATTACAGGTGGGTGATCTCGAGGAGGAGCTCGCCGAGGCGCGAGAGGCGCTGTCTCGGCAGGCAGCGGAGCAGAGGCCGCCGGCCGAGGTGAGGCCTCGCGCGCCATCCGTTACGCCTCTCTCTCTCACTCTCTCTCCTCTCGACCTCTCTCTCTCTCTCTCTCTCTCTCTCTCTCTCTCTCTCTGCCTCTCTCTCTCTCTCGACCTCTCTCACTCTCACTCTCTCTCTCTCTCTCTCTCTCTCTCTCTCTCTCTCTCTTCCTCTGCCTCTCTCTCTCTGCCTCTCTCTCTCGACCTCTCTCTCTCTCTCTCTCTCTCTCTCTCTCTCTCTCTCTCTCTTGCCTCTGTCCTCCACTCCCTCGCCCCACTCCCTCGCCCCACTCCCTCGCCCCACTCCCCCCCCTCGTAGTCTTTGCCGCACACCCGCCCTCTTGCCGGCACGAGCGAGGCTGCGGCGCAGCACGGCGCAGAGCTGCAGCACGCCGCAGAGCAACACGCCGCAGAGCTGGCCGCGCGTGACGCGGAGCTACGCTCGTCCCTCGCCCGACTCGCGCTGACGGAGCGGCGCGCCGAGGCGGCCGAGGCAGCCTTGCATGCGGCCGAGAGGGCGCGGGCCGCCTCTGACGCGGCGTGGAGTGCGGCAGAGGCTCGCGCTGCGGCCGCGGAGGAGGCGGCCGAGGAGGCGGCCGAGGAGGCGGTAGAGGAGGTAGAGGGGCGGATCGGCGGAGCAGGAGGGCGGGAGGAGGGCGGGCGGGCGGAGGGAGGGCGGGAGGGAGGCACACTCTCCTCCGCGGCGCAGGCCGAGCCCTGGCAGGCCGGTCCTCCCGGCCAGGCTGAGCCTGGCCAGGCCGAGCCTGGCCAGGCCGAGCCTGGCCATGCGGAGGCGCTTCTCTCGCGGGCGTGCGGCGTGCTCGGCCTGTCCGAGCCGGGGCAGCTGCCCGCCGCGCTCCACACGCTCAGCACGGCGGCGCGCGCCCTCGGCCCGCTCGAGCGGTGGGTAACCGAGGCGTGCGAATAATGATAATAATAATGATGGTAATAATAATAATGATAGTAATAATAATTGCTAATCAACTAGCTAAGCTCGAGGTGTGGGTCTCCGAGGTGTGCGCCCTCGTCGAGGCCGCCACCCCGCCCCCCGCCCCTCCCTCCGCCTCTCGCCCGCTCGGCCCGGACGAAGCGCTGCAGGAGCTGCGCTGCTGGCCCGCGCGCCTCCTCGAGCCCGCGCGCCTACCCGAGCTGCGTCGCCGAGCTGGGCCACCACCCGGCCCCGCCGACGCCGCGGCTGCCGACGCCGACGCCTCCGCCACCGCCGGCAGCCACAGCGGCGCAGCCAGCACGGCGGTGACCAACGCGCCGCGGCTCTCGCCGGCGGAGCTCGCTGTGGCGCTCGCCGCCGCGAACGAGTTCGACCCCCCCTCCCGGCCGCCGCCCAAGAAGATGCTGCCCAAGCTGCAGCCCGTCGCGGCTGCTAGCCGCAAGAGGCTGCAGCCCGGGCTGGCGGAGGAAGAGGAGGAAGAGGCCGCCGCGACGCTGCAGAGCGAGACCGAGGCCGCAGAGCGGCGCGCCGCGGCGCGCTGGCAGCCGTTAGGGGGTGAGGGCAGGGGGTGAGGGCAGGGGGTGAGGGCAGGGGGTGAGAGTACCGGGGGTGAGAGCCCGCTCCTCGGCAGCGATGGAGGGGGAAATGGGGGCAGGGCGGGTGGCGGCTTGCCCCTCGCATGGCAGTATTCGGATCTCTGTCTCTGCACTCTTCGACAGCCGCGGCTCCCCCGCTCGCCAGACACCGGGGAGACGCTGCACCACACACAGCCGCCCTGCGCCCTGCGCGTCATGCATCATCGATATGGTGTCTCCCTCCCTCTCTCTTTCATGATCTCCTTATCTTTCCTCTTGAGAGAGATTTTTAGCAAAATACCAAGATGCAAGAACACAAACCACTCTAACTAACACTCACACGTTGTGTTTGTGTTCCTCTTGTGAGAAAAAGAAAGAAAGAAAAGAATGAAAACAGTAACAAACAAACCAAACAGCAGGATTTTGGAAGGGGACGATCAGGGACACAGTTCACCCACACGAGAAAGGAAAAGAAAGAGAGTAAACATGGAGCACTTGGAGTGCAGTCATTAACCTCACATCCAGGGCCGGGGAGCTGAGGAGCGCACCCAGCGGGCCGGATGATCGGGATCGGGTTACGGGCTAGAGAGCCCTAGCCCCGGGGGTGCGCGTTCGCAGGGAAAGGGCCGTAAAGTAAACACGGGTCCCCGAGGGTTAGCTCTGCGCTCCGGGTTTCCCCTAGCAGCGGAACGCCCCCTCTACTCGGGGCTAGTAGACACCAGACACTAGCACGACAACACACACATTCCTCACTGACGTCACCACTAGGAACCCCCCGCTCCGCGCACGGTCTCCTCACCCCCACTCCGAGGGGGGCCCTCCCTCCCCTCGGTCCTCCCTCCTGTTCGCCTTCCGATGGTCACGCGACGACTGTGGGGCCCGGCCTCCCCTACTAGCCTTCTTTGGCCGCGGTCCCGTCGCCGTTTCGTCCTCTCTGCCCGATCCCGCTGACTCCGCCTCCGGCGACCCCGCTCCCGACCCCCTGGGCGAGGACGGTGGCATTGGGTCACACCCACTTCTACCCCCGGGAGGTCGAGCCCGCTCTCCCTGGTCGACGAGTCGCGCCCGCACCCGCGGCCTCTCTATCGTCCTTGGCTCGCCCCCCCCCTCCGCCGGCTCCTCTTCAGGCTCGGGGAGCGGAGGCGTGGCCCTCCCTGTCGAAGATCGCGGTGAACCGGTTGCCACTGCAACGGGCCTTCCCCCGGTGAGCTCGTACGTCCCGACTCCACTCGCAGAGGCCGCGTCAGCTCATCTCTCGCCTCCTCCGACAGCTGACCCCAAGCCCCCCCTGGGGCCCTCCGGCCTCGGCCTTCCGGCTCGCCGGCGGGCCCGTTATCGTATTGCGGTAACTCCCCTCCCCCACAGCTCCTCCTCCCGGGTACTCCAGCCTCCGGCGGGGCGGTTCCGGATCCCCCAGGTTATTCCGAGCGGGTCCATACGGTGGCGGCCCCGCCGGCGGCGGGGGTGGAGGCGGTGGCAGGGGTGGCGGGTACGGTGGCGGCCCTCGCGGCCAAAACGCCTGGTGTGGAGCCGCTGGGGCGGCCCCACGACCCTGCAGCCGTTCCAGCGGCGGGGGCGGAAGTGGCAATGTGGGTGGCGGAAACGGTGGCGGCACTGGCGGCCGCACCGCCTGGTGTGGAACCTCAGGGGCGGCCCCTCGACCCAGTGGTCGCTCTCCAGCGGCGGGGGCGGAGGCGGTGGTGGTGGGGGCGGGCCTGGTGGCGGTGCCGGCAGCCGCAACTCCTGGAGCGGGGCCTCGGGGGCGGCCCCCTGCCCCTGCGGTCGTTCCAGCCGCGGTTCCACGCGTCGGCCGACTACCCCACTCGTAGGGGGGGGCCTAGCTCTCGTCTCCCCTCGAGAAGGGGGGGGGGGCAGGGCCCGGATTCGCCGACGGCCCCGCCTCTCCCTCCCCCCGCTCTGCATCAGGCCGTAGGTTGCGTAATAGCCGCGCCGCCTCCCCCTCGCCCGGTCCCTCTCTATTCGGTCCCACACCGACCGGATATCAAAGGCCGAGTTGTGCTCGGACAGCGGGCCCGCCGATGCGGTAAACGCACTTGGAGCACTTGGAGTGCAGTTATCAACCTCACATCCAGGGCCGGGGAGCTAAGAAGCGCACCCAGCGAGCCGGATGATCGGTGTCGGGTTACGGGCTAGAGAGCCCTAGCCCCGGGGGTACGCGTTCGCAGACCCGGCTTTTTTCTTCCTCTCGATGCCACTTCCGCGAACAAAGCCGCCGCACGCCGAAGCGCCCCGCTCCCAGGCTTGTAGCCATGCACCCGCAACTGACCCTCGACAACAATCAGATGTGCGTGGACCAGATCCTCGCCTTCCAGCGGTGCCACGAGGAGGTTGGCCTCTGGGGCAAGCTGACTGCCCGCTGCAACACCGAGAAGAGCCTGCTGGACAGGCGCGCGCGACCCTGCCGTTAGCACTCGCGTCCGCGCGCACTCGCTGATGCGCCCGGCCCGCCTTGCTGCAGGTGTTTCCGGGAGCAAAAGAAGGTGAAGCGAAAACGGAATCGCGAGGATCGGCCTATGAGCGCCGGGACGGGAGCACCCGGGCGCGGGGCGTGGCATCAGGCACTGAAAGATGGCATCATGCTGGAAGAGACCTCTTGACGAAGTGACTTCACCTTAATCGCCCGTCACTCACGCCTCCCTCCTCCCGCTGCCGCCCGGTCCTAGCCTGAGATGTGTTGAGCCCCACAAGGCGCGCCTCCTGTGTGTGATATAGCGCCCATATCGTGTCAGAGAAGGCTAGCCAGAACGAAGTCGAGAACCGTGCGGTCCGGAGGAATTTGTGCTCCTTTTGGTGAGAAGACTGTGTTGATGTACGACACCGCATCCCCGTCAGGACACAATTTTTCCGTCTCTAGTTTAACGTACTCAAGTCCTGTGTAACTGTTGGCATCTCCTGCTCCCTGTGTCTGGGAACAGAACTTCGCGAGGGAGCGACGCGGAGTAGGCTGGGGCTATACCAGGCAGCCGCGCCGAATTGGACCGCGCTCTCTCCACTGCAGCGCCTCTGGCTCTGCACTCCTGCCACCTGCGTCCTGGGACCTGGCTAAATAAATAAATAAACAAAGAGTCGTTGAAAATCCAAAATCGCAAAATTCGGTGTGAGTCTGTCATCATTGGCTGCACGGCGCCTCATCAAGTCGGCTACAAAATGCCGACTGCCACGAACGAAGCTCTCGCGGACGAGAAAGAGAAGTCGATCCTCGAAGAGCACAAGCAGCGCTTCTCCGCGATGAAGCTGGCGCCCGATGGTATCGAGCCTTGCGACGCAAACGGCGAGAAGCTCGTCGCCGGCACGCGCGTCCAGCTCTTCGGCTTACAAGCGCGGCCCGACCTGAACAACACGTACGGCCGCATTGTCACGTACAATACCGAACGCGGCCGCTTCGGCGTGCAGCGCGAGGAAATGCTTGAACGCAAAGGCCAGATCACGTTCGATTGGGTGGACATGGAGAGATGGGCCCAGGTAGGAGGCTCCACGCCACCTGACTCGCGTCGTGCCACCTGACTCTCGCCTGGAGAGGCCTCTTAGCCGAGGCACACGTGGCAATCGCCACGTGCGCCAACAGGGATTTCGGCCATTTTAGAGCCTTTTGCACAAAAATGCAGGTGGCTTTAGCCACTTGCTCCATGAGCAAAACAGTGCAAAAAGCACCTGGAGCAGATGGCTTACGCCGCCTGTGGACATGGGCAAAACAGTGCAAAAAGCACCTGGAGCAGATGGCTGACGCCGCCTGTGGACATGGGCAAAACAGTGCAAAAAGCACCTGGAGCAGACGGCTTACGCCGCCTGTGGCCATGGGCAAAACAGTGCAAAAAGCACCTGGAGTAGATTCCAAACGCCGCCTGTGGCCATGTGATGCGCTCGGGTGGCGCCAAGGGCTTCGGCCCCCTCCAAGCCACCTGCCCCGCCCCCCTCGCCACACGTGGAGGGCTGGAGCACGTGCGCCACCTGGGCCTGGGCAGGTGGCAACAGGTGGCTTCAGCCCCCTCCAAGCCACCTGCCCCCCCTCCCTCGCCACACGAGGAGGGCTGGAGCACGTGCGCCACCTGGGCCTGGGCAGGTGGCTCCAGGTGGCTTCGGCCCCTCCAAGCCACCTGCCCCGCCCCCCTCGCCACACGTGGAGGGCTGGAGCACGTGCGCCACCTGGGCCCGATGGGTGGGCAGGTGGCGCCAGGTGGCTTCGGCCCCTCCAAGCCACCTGCATGCCCCCCCTCGCCACACCTGGAGGGCCGGAGCACGTGCGCCACCTGGCGCAAGTTTGAATTCGGAAACGGAAAATCCGAGCCACGGAAGGGCTGGCCTGCCAAACGCGAGCCTCCCCGCTCCTCCCCGCGCTGCAAACTGGGACTGTGGGGTGTGTGAAAGAGGGCCTGCGGCGGTCATCGGCGGCTACAATCAATGTCCGGCGTCGACATAAGCCTGGGGCTTCAACCCGGCCCGCGCGGGCGTTTGGTGTGGCTGCAAACGCCGCAGGAGCCGGTGGCTGCGCTGCTCACGCGCCGTTGCTGCCGACGCTGAGCAGTCTGACTCGCCAATGAGAAGACTGCCCGATAATACGCCATCACTCGATCCCCGATAAACCAGGCCATGCAGAGCTTTGTCGGCCTCGCCGACCGTCGTGTGCTGGCTGCGCGGTAGAGTTGCGAGAGTGGATTGTGGAGGCGCGGCGGGGGCGGATCGTGGTGCCGAGGCGGTGTATAGTACATTCCTATTCAAAAGAACACGCATGATGAAATTCCCGAAGTGACGCCCAGGTGGCGCACGTGCTCCAGCCCTCCAGGTGTGGCGAGGGGGGGCATGCAGGTGGCTTAGAGGGGCCGAAGCCACCTGGAGCCACCTGCCCGGGCCCAGGTGGCGCACGTGCTCCAGCCCTCCATGCTTGGCCCACTCAAGCGCGATTGAGGCGGCCATTTCCGTGCCGGCCGTCGCGGCACCAAAATAGCACATGGAGACGAAGATGTGCAGGCCCAGGTTGCGAAACCCCTGTGGCGTGTTGAGTCGCATGTCAAAAAACTCGGCAAAGATGATGAGAATGAGAATCTGCAGCACGCCAAAGACCAGCTTGAACACGCAGCCGCAAGTGACCAGCACAACGTCCCACGCCGTCGCAAAGTAGAATAAGGAGCCAAAGAAGGAACGCGTCGCCGAGGTCTGGAGCGCGTCATCCAGCGGCATTTCCTTGATCGGGCTGTCGAGACCCGGATCGGGAACCACCTTGCGCGCGTTGCGAGGCATGCCCTGTGGCACTAGGAGTGCGGTGGGCAGCCTCACTCGCGGGGCCCGATCGCGGCTGTTTGGAGAGCGGTCGGCAGGATAAGCGGCGGAGACGTTTCGCCCCTCGCTACCCTCTCGTTCGTTTGCCGAGTTTCGCCGATGCTTGTGCCTCTCTGTTCCTGCGCTCACGCTTTCTTTTTTCGCGCGGGCTCGGATGCTCACTCCACTCTTCAGTCTAGCGGCCATAGCAGCACAGCCGCGTCTGCTTTTAACATCGGCCGGCTTGTCCACACCGGCGCTGGCCGCAGCTTTCAGGAGAATGGCCAGGGACGCGCAGCCGGCTGGCCCGCAGGGTTTCGCCGTGACCATGCTCGTGACAGCGGCGATGGCTCCATCCTCGCGCGCACCCTCCTCGCGCTCGCCAGGTGAGCTTCGCCGACGCCGCTGGGCAGACGCGCGGAAGAAGGCGCGGCTCCTCGAGGCGGAGCTGAGTGCGCTCATAGACAGCCACGTCGAGATTGACTGCCTCTGCTGTGCTCGCGACGACGGCGAGCGCGTGCGCACGTCGCTCCAAGGCGCGAGCTGTGTCTGGGTGACGGGTGGTAACACCTTTTATCTCTGGCACCACATGCGCTCTTCTGGTTGCGCCGACCTCGTCCAGCAGCGAGTCGCCGAGGGCGTGCTCTATGTCGGACAGTCGGCAGGCTCCATCGTCGCTGGTGAGTCAATCGAGACGGCCTTCTGGAAGGGGTGGGACGACCCCGACGTCGTTCCCGGCGTGGAGTGGTCTGCGGAGACGCTAGATGCAATGAGCTTGGCCCCCGACCACCTCTTCTTCCCTCACTACTCTCCGGAGTTCGAGCCGCTCGTGCAGAGAGAGCGAGTGAAGCTGCCACCAACTACCGCGGTTGTCGCCCTTGCTGACGCCGGGCCTGCTTATGTGGTGGGCGACCTTGCGAGCGAGGCGAGTGCAGATCCTTGTGCGTCTCAGAAGTAGCGGACATAGGTGTGTGTATACGTATTGGGTATTGTGTTTTCTCGTGTGTGGAGATATCTCAATACTCAAAAAAATGCACGGCGGGTACTTTAATCTTTATCGATCTACCCCGAGCCCATGCCCGCGCCGCGGAGGGCTCTCCCCGCTCTCTCCGTCCCTCCTAGCGTCCCTCCAACAGTCGCTCACGACGGACGAGCGGCAACCGGAACCGGGCGTTAAATGAACAATACATCTCGAATGTGTACTACACCATCACAGAGCTCCGCTGGGCCTCCCCCACAAGGTGTGCTGCCTCCGTCGCCCGCCCTTTTTGACAGGCGGAGCGAAGGCAGTGCGCTGAGGTCTCCCTCCGCTCGCACAGCTCTCGACTCGCGCCGAGAGCGTCGAGCGCATGCCCCCTCTCCCGCCCCACACCTCGCCGCCTCACCCGCGACGCCGTCACCGCGCCTTCTCCGCGCCCGCCATCCGACTCAGCGGATACCCTTCTTCTTGACGACCTCGAGCTCCTTTGCGTTGTGCGCGAAGCACTTCTTCGGCACGAGCTTCTGCGTCGCCTGCTCGCGGATGGGCGCTGTGAAGAGGATGTGAAGAGGCGCTTTGAAGAGACGCTGTGAAGAGACGCTGTCCACACCCGACCCGCTCGGCAGGCCCCCCTCTTGCATTGCCGCCAGGCAGCCGTTCTCCGGGCTATATCTCGGCTGGATCTCGGCTGGATCTCGGCTGGATCTCGGCTAGATCTGGCCGTCAGGCAGCCGTTCTCCGGGCTCCACGGGTCTCCGACGAGCGGGTAGACGGCGATCACCGTCTCGAGCGCGGTGAGGCCAGCCTGACCAAGGACCAGCTCTCTCTGAAGGAGGAGCAGCCAGCCCCCAGCCTCGAGAGCGCGGCGAGGGTAGCCTTCTTGGCCTCCTCCTTGAAGGACGCGACGACGAGCGCCTGCACCTCCGGGTTGGCGGCGAGCTCCTTCGGCTCGCCCTCGATGCCGACTCCCTTGGCCGCCTCGACCAGCGCCTTCTCCTTGACTTGCGCCAGCGCGACCTACCCCACCGCATGCCTCGCGTCCTCTCGCGCCATCTCAGCGACCTCCGTGGCGTGCGCGAGCGGCACCGAGCGGTCGAGCGTGTGGTCGGCGAAGCAGCAGACGCCCCCCGCCTCCACCTCGACGAACGGAGAGTTGTTGTAGGCCTGACGAGTGCAAGAATGGCTCGGTGAACGACTCAAGCGCCTCCGCCTCGAGGAGGGGGGAGCTGCTCCACGCCGTGTTCATCTTCTCGAGCGCCACGTACTCGCCGCCCTTGAGCTTCACCTGTCCTCACCAACCAGCCGCAATGACGGAGCGAGCACTGAGACCACGTGCCTCGCCCCGCCTCCGCAGGCGCGCCAGATTCTTCTTGCGGTCGACGATCTTGAGCGCGCCGCCCGGCGTGAGCAGCCCGATGTCGCCCGACCTGTTCACAGCCCACGCCTGTGAAGAGACGCCGTTCACCGCCCGGCGTGAGGTCAAGCTGTCGCCAGACTTGAACCAGCCGTCGGGCGTGTACTCGGAGGCGGTGAGCTCCGCCATCTTGTAGTAGCCGACCTGAGGGAGGCATGAATGAACCACTCCACCGATGGAGGGTGTGGGCTCCTCCGCCCTGCAGCACCACGCCGACAGGTTGTTGCCTCGCATCCAGACCTCGCCGCGCCTGTTCAAGTAGGAGTCGTTGGTGAGTCTCGAGTGGCTGGTTAGTGTCGCATCCAGACCTCGCCGCGCCCCGCGCAGACTTCGCCCGTGCAGTGCAGCGTGTCGGTGGTCAGGTAGGGCGCGCCTGCTCCTCACCAGCTGTTGAGTTGGCATGAGATGTTTCATCAGCGGCGGTGGCCGGGTGCGGGCGCGCCGTCTGCGTCGGTGATCTCCGGCTCAGAATGGAGCGTCACCTAGCCTCGGGTCACCTCGGGTCAACCTCGGGTCAACCTCGGGTCAATCTCGGGGCTCTGCCCCTCTCGGAGTGAGGCCGGGAGGGGCAGCGCCGCCTCCATCGTCGCCATCGGCGTGCCGGCGATGCCGATCGACAGGTCGTTGTACTTTTGGACCGTCGTCCCGCCCGTCGTCTCGGTGAGGCCGTAGCCTGAGACCAGCTCATCCATCTGAGACCATTCTATCCTCTCCTCGAGGCTCTCGTCAGGCCGTAGCCCTGCGCGAGCGGCGCGTCGAGCGCAGTCCGGACCCACTCCTGTACCTCGCCCGAGATTGCGCCTGAGATCGCAATCTCGCCCGTTGGTCCGTCATCACCGGCCATTCACACGCACCCGTCCCCTGCGAAGAGACTGCGCCTCCGCCCGAGACGCAGAGCTGCAGCTGCCCGCCCGTCGTCTGCTTGAACTTCTTGAGCAGCAGGTTGAACAGGGGCGTGTACCGGTACTGCTTGGTCGCCAGTGCCTTCATCTTGACTGCGAGCCCGATCAGGAAGACTGCAGTCGGGCCCGCCTTGCTCACCTTCGGAATGCACAACCACGAGGTCATTACCTTCACAGCAAGACCGCCGTCCGCCCCGCCTTGCCAAGCCTTCGCGAGAGCGCCGGCCTTGATCGCCTCCCACACCTGCAACACAGGTCCGGAAGAAGAGTCCGAGAAGAGTCCGAGAAGAGTCCGAGACGGTCGCCCGTATCGGCCCCCCCTCCCCCACACACCTTGGGCACGCCCGCCATGAGCGTCGGCTGGAACTCCTCGAGCGAGCCTAACAGCAGCCCCTCGCCACTCCCCGCACTCTCCACGGCTGGGGACCGCTCAGCAGCTCCCTCCCTCCCACCGGTCGGCTTGCACTTCTCGGGCCCGGGCAGAAGCGTCTTCGGGTCCGCGTAGCCAACCGCGTGCCCCGAGCCGAAGAAGGCGAACCTGCGGGCGGGGGCGGAGGCGTGGCGTGGGCGTGGCGTGGGCGTGGCGTGGGAGGCGAAGGAAGGCAGGTGCACTCAGCGACGAGCTCTACCCACTGATGACTCATGAACGATTCACAGTGAAAGAGCCACAGGTGGGCGGACGCACTCGATGACGAGCTCGAAGATGTGGGCCAGCGGCAAGTAGGCGATGTGCGTGCCTGCACGCGGGCAGTGGTCGATCAGAGGGAGGAGGGAGGGGCTCTAGAGGTCGACGGGCGGAGCGACTCAAGAGGTGAAACTTCCGTGCTGCTGCTCACGTCTGCAGCGCGCCTGGGTTGACGGACGGGTCCCGCGCCTCCTCGGGCATGGCGTGGACAAGGCCGGCCATCTGGGCAAGGAGCTGCTTCTGCAGGATCATCACGCCCTTCGGGTCGCCTACCAGCTCGCTCTTGCCCCTGAGGCGGAGGAGCTGCTGATGCAGGAGCTGTGCTCGCCCTCGCGGCCACCCGTCGAGCCGGAGGTGTACATGAGCACGCCGAGCGAGTCCGGCTTGGGCGGCGTCGGAGGGCGCGGGTGCGCCTTGTGCATTGTTGATTAGATAGTGACTGGTGGCTCGCCCCCATTGACCAGGCGTCGGGAGGGCGCGTGTGCGCCTTGCCGATGGAGATGACCTCGTCGAGCGAGAGGAGGGTCGGCTTCTTGCCGCCGGAGACCTTGGACTCGCACTCCTTGACGGTGCAGAGGGCGTCGGTGTAGACGATCACCTTGAGGCTGGGCATCTGGTCCACCTGAGAAGCAGCCCACGAGGATCACGGCTCCCTTCCCTCCCCCTCGAGGCTCGGCATGCTGGCGGTGCCATCTTGAGCAGCGCCGGCACCGCCTTGCGGTTGCAGACGAGGACGCTGACCGCGCCCTGCTTGACGGCCTTGGCGACCGAGTCGACGCCGAGGGTGGCGTAGGAGGTGGCGACGACGATGTCTTGCGACATGCATCCGTGCGCCGCGACCATCCAGTCGGCTGCCCGAAAGGGGGGGGAGGGAGGGAGGGGGAGGGGGGCATGGACGGGCCGTGCAGGGAGGGCGCGCAGACGAGGCGGGAAGCAGGTGGGTTGGAGGGGGCGCGGAGGGGGGAGGGCTTGCGGGCTCTGCGGCGCGCGCAGGCTCGGCTGCTGCTGCTGTGGTGCGTGGTCACCGGAGGTCTCGTCGTAGACCAGAGCGCCCTTGTGGTCTGCAGAGACGGCGTCGGCCGGCTGCGGCTCGATGCCGAGGTGGCGGAGGCCGGCGCCAAAGGCATGGGCGAGCTCGCCGAGCTCCGCGTACGTCCGCCACGTCGTCGGCCCGAACATCTGCGAGCGGCAGGAGGCAGGAGCCGGCAGAGGTATGGTAAGGACTCAAGCCGGGAGAGGAGGCGGTGAGGGTGGAGGTGGAGGCGGTGAGGGTTGAGGTGGCCGCCCCTTCCTCGGCAGCACCGCGCGCGCCTTGGTCGGGAAGCGGTAGCCGGACTCGACCTTGGCCTCGAGGAGCGTGCGTGTGCCCTGCCGAGGGGACGTGACGCTCAGTTGGGGCACGTCCGAGAGTGGCTGCGCTGTGGCTGCGCCTGAGCGCGGTTGGTGGCGAACTTGCTGTAGGCGAGCGCGAACGCTTCGTAGGCAGTGTGGCACCCGCCAAACCAGGCGATGCCATCCTCCAGCTTTCCGTCCTCAATGGCGTCGATCGAGCGCCACACTTTGCTCGGCGGGCCTCCCTTGTTGATGTCCGCGTCCGCCACGGGCTTCGCGAACACCGTCTGCGCCGTGAGGTAGCGGTAGAGCGTGATGAGTGGGCCGAGCGTGACCAGGTACAGTGCAAAGTCGATGAGCACGAGCACGAGCCCGAGGATGTGGTTTACCGCCGCTCCGGCCATCGCTGTGGCGCTTCGGTCGCCGGCTTGATGGCTGGTATAAAAGAATTTACACAGGCAACTCTAGACTGGTATAAAAGAAAATACTCAGACTCTCGCTCCCTCCCGTTCCCCGAAGAGAGTTTTTCTTTCTTCGTTTGCGCAAGATGCGATGCGTGGACGCACGCGCATGTAACGCATTCGTAGCCCACACCGATGGATTCTCTGCATCTCTTCCAGCTGGCGTGCGGCCTCTCCGCCGAGAAACAGATGCTTACAGCGAGGCTTGCAGACCTAGTCGGGCATCCCAGAGAGATGGGCGGCGCATCTGAAGCGAGGGATGCGGTCGGGCATCCCAGCGGGATAGGTCGTGGTTTTCAAGAGAGGGATGCAGAGCTGCGATCGCAAAACCACCAGCAGAGCGGGCAGCCACCCCGCCCGCTCTGTGTTGCCACCGCTGGCAGTCCTCCATCCGCGGTGCCGCACGTGCGCACGCCAGAAAAGAGGGCCGCAAGCGGCGAGGGTGGAGATCCCAACCTGCTTCCCCACAAGAGGCAGTGCAAGCAGCTGCAAACCCAGCTACGCGTCATGAAGGAGCGGCAGGCTGCGGTTCAAGCCGCGAGGGTATTGAACCGGAGCGAGGCTCGAGCATCTGATGGGGAGAACGTGCAGAACCGAGCCTCACGCATGCCTTATAAATGCAGAAGGTGCGGTCAGCTCAGAAAGGGACACACCTGTCCCCGGAGGAGAGAACTAACTGCACATGAGGAGAGGCTGCTGCTAATGGTGGGCTGACGGCACCGCGCGGCATGGAGCCAACAGGCGGCCGTGCGCCCCTACGCACTCACTTCCGTCTCACCTGCTATCACGCAAATTTAACTCAAACATCCTTTTACGCACTTCCTCCACCCCCTGTCTGTTTTTTTATTTTCACTCTGACAACCCCTTGGTACCACGCACACAAGGTCTCCGGCTTTTTATTCACTCCTTGCCACACGCGCAGCAGTTCCGCTCCGGCCAGCCGTGATACTCACCGAGCGCCCAACGCTGTCCCGCGGGCGCGCTGGCTTCGGAACAGTAGCGTCGGCTGGCGTAGTCGGCGCAAGTCAGACCGGTGGGGCTAGACCATGCGGGGGTGTCGTCGCAGCCGGCCGCGAGCGCCGGAGATTGCGCACCGCGGCTCCTCAGCGCAAGCGCGAGCCGGCGATACCGCGCCTCATCGAATTCACAGGCGAACCTGCCGCCTTGGCGGTACGCATAGAGCTCCTTTGCGTTGGCGCAGACTGAGGAGAGCACGAGCACCTCGGCGAAATACACGTTGTCGACAGCAAAGTGCGAAGTGCAAGGCCCGTTGATGCACGAAGAGGGGGCACGGTGCTTGGCCAGGTCCATCCGGCTGGGGAATACGGCGAACTCCAGCTCGTTTCTCCACATCCCAGGTAACCAGCCGCGAGCGGCGCACAAGATCCATTCAAGGTTTTTACACATCGTCCAACCTAATAGGTAAGGTAAGGTAAGGTAAGGTAAACGTCTCCACACACACAAAGTGGTGGGGCAAGGGGGGGCGAAGATCCTTGCTGTACGCGCAACACGTTGCGGTTCGCTCGAATGCACCGCAGCGAGAACTCAGCCTGCCAGTCGTTGCCAGTGAACGAATGGCTCTGCCCGTTGAGGTCCGAGCAGTAGTCGTATATGTCGGGGTCGAAGCCGAGGAGTGCCGGCGCGTGGCCCGTGAAACGAGCGCGGGCGTCTGCAGCGGCAAGGTCACCTTTTGCTGCGGAGAACCAGTTCGCGCTGCACGTGGTGCCGCGCCGCACGCGATCAAAAAAGGCATCGGCGCCACCAGGTTGGCCGTCCCAGCACGCTTCCTTGCCGGGGCGCAGCCGCTCCCAACCATTCGACCACAGCTCATAGAAGATCGAGTCATGGTGCGAGATCTCGCGCTCAGCGTACTCGGCTGTGAGGAGACCGTCGAAACGCGTGTCCGCAGCTTCGATCAAGTTCGCGAGAGCAGCCACTGCAAAAATTGCCCGCGCGCTCGCTGAACCGCACGACATCGCGCCCGCCGAGAGAGAGTTTGAGCGGACGGTTACGAGATCTGAGACGGCCGTCAAGTGCTCCGGCCCTGGCGAGGTACTCCCACGCCCCTCGGGGTTTTTGTCTGGCCGAGTCAACCCTGCTGGGGCGAGCCTTGGCGAGCAGCGTTCAGCTGTTCCCACAGCAGGCTGGAAGTACCTCGCCGGGCGCCACAACACATGGCGTTCTACTTTGACGCGGCTTCGCGCTTTGACCTTAGCCCACAGCCGCTCGACGAGCTGATCTCGAGTGGCCAGGCCCTCTCTCGGAGAGACGGCAGTGGGCGGACGCTACTGCATCACGCGTGCGAGCAGGGCCACGAAGGCGCCGTCAGGGCGCTGGTCGAGGCGGGATGCAGTGTCGAGGCGCAGGATTGCGACGGTCGCACACCGCTGCACCTCGCCTGCCTAAACGTCGGGAGAGCGAGTGCGCGCGGGAGCGACCACCTTGCCATCGTCCGCTTCCTCGAAGAGAGCAACGCCTCGGCCACAACTCCCGATCGGTTTGGGCGGCTGCCACTAAGCTGCCTGCCCGACGAAGCCAAGCGAGTTGGGAGGAACGCGGGGTCGATGCGGGGCCCAGCTCTTGCGGCGACACGCGTGATTACGGGCAGCCCAGCCGACCCAGCCGCGATGGGGGGCGTGGCGGGAGCGGTCGCGGCGCATACGCGGTAGCGCGGCCGCCACGCGGCGGAGAGAGAACCCTCTTCAGAACCAGGGCCAAAGGGTACGCTGCCTCTCGTTTAGCAGTTTACTGGGCCTTCCGCGCGCACGGATTGTTTATACACAATTGTGTCTCTTCTAACCATACGGTATTAAACTCTCGTGGAACCCGGTGCCGTGAGCTAGCTCTCGAGGTTGGAAGGGGTTTAGTGTGGGGGGGATAGCCTCTCTCTTGGTGAGATTCATACATGCAAACTTGGTCTTGCTGTAAGAGAGAGCACCACTCAGGGACTGCGAAGGGAGATAGAAAGAGGCAGACGCCCAAGGGTTAGGGTGGGCGACGGCTATAGCACCACACCCTTCTCCTTAAAATCCCTGTGTGGTGGCGGCGTGTCGTCCTCCCATCCCTCCCTTGGGTTGTCTGTTTCTTTCTTTCTTTGTTTGTTCTTCTTCTTTTACCAGTCTCAACAAAAACAAACTCCCAGTCTCGTTCTTTCATTGCGAACTTGCTTGATTGCGGCAATCCCCAATCCCCTTGGCGGTGCTGTCGGCAGTTGCAGCTATGCCAATGGGCCGCTCACTCACACCGACACGTCACCTCCGGCATGTGTGGACGGCATGTGGCAAGTAGACGTCAAAATTTGACTAAGTGGAGGAACCTCTCAGCCATCACCTCATCAAGCAGTCAGCCGGGGCCCAGCGCGTGCCTCGCGCCTCGCACCCGGCCACCGTGAGTGCAAAAGCAGGGTGGGCATGACCCAGCTGAATGGTGAAACGCAGCGGACCGCGATCACCAGCGCGGAAGCACCGTTTCGCATCTTGTACTCCACGCCGGAGTGGCGAGACACGTTTGGGTCCCGTGCTGATCTCCGGTGCCTCGAGGGTGCAGAGGCGTGGTGCGACGTTCAACTGTCGGGCCTGTTTGCCCAGCTCAAGATGGGGCACGCCGTGAGCTCGCCACTCTCCTCGCGGGACCGGCACGGCAATTCCTTTCACCACTTGGCGTCGGCGGCCCCAATCTGCAGTGCGGACGGCAGCATCGCCCTTCTTCGCGTGACGGTCAGCACCTCCTCGCCGACACCACCCAGCTCCAACTGCGTGGCCGAGGACCTGCAGGGCTGTCCCGCGGTCGACCCGCCCCTCGAGGTCAGCCGGAGCGCCTCCATGGGCTCGAGCGAGGCGCTGCTCTCGGCCGACCTCGTGCAGCCCGACTCGCCCGGCGCCGCGGCGTCCTGCGACGACTTTCCGCCCGAGTTTCGGCTCACCGCCGGCTCGCTGGACGGAGCCCGTCAGGCGAGCGCCTCGCCGAGCGAGGTCAGCGTCCTCTCGGAGGCGCTGACGGAGCGGGCCGCGCCTTCAGCAGCGCCCGAGCCGGCGTCCGAGCTCGCCCCCCTCAGCCTGCAGCTCCCTCCCGCCGGCGGCTCCGCCCCGCGCGGCGTCTCGAAGCCTCGCTCGCCTCGCGGCCGCGGCCAAAAGTCGCCACCCTCGACGACGTCGCGCGCGCCTCGCGCCACCGGCTGGCTCGGCCAGATTGGCGCCTTCGAGGCGTTTGCCTACTGCGGCACCGGCTCTCTGCTCGGCCGCAGCGCCGCAAAGCCGGGCCGCAGCAGCCGCGCCTCGAGCCGGCTGGGGCGGCTGGGCCGCAAGGGCGTGGGCGAGGAGGCCGGGGACGGCGACGGCGAGTGCTGCGCCGGCGAGCCACTCCGCCGCTCAAGCGCCCTCTTGGCAGAGGAGTTGGTGCCGCCTCCGTTTGTGGCGGAGGGCGGATTCGTGGTGGTGACTGCGGCGGCGCCTCCGTACGTGGTGGAGTGGGCCTCGCCGGGCTGGCTGCAGATGTGCGGCTTCCGCCCCTCCGGCCTCGACGTCCTCGGCCGCTCCCTGCGCTGCCTGCAGGGCGACCTGACTGACACGGCCGCCGTCGGGCGACTGATGCGCGCCGTCGCGGAGCGCAGGGACGCGCCGGCGGCGAGGCTGGTCAACTACGACGTGCAGCGGCGCGTACCCTTCGTCCACACGGTGGCGGTCCGCTTCCTCCCTCCCGGCGACGACCCGCAGCGCGGCGCAGCCTTCATCGCCACCTCCTCTGCGGTGCAGCTGCTGCCGAGCGGCGCCGAGCGGTGGAGCCTCGAGGCGGAGCGCGCGGCGGGCGAGGTTGCGCAGGACGAGTGCTGGTCGGACGAGTTCGAGGACTACTGGAGCGGGTGGGGCGAGCGCGTCGCGCCGCCCCCCAAGAAGACCGAGGTCGGCCACAAGAAGAGGTGAGGCAGGCCGATGGCCTTGAGGCCCGGGCATCATAAGTGAGAGGCGATGCCACCACTGCGAGCGAGGGCGGCGAACAGTCTTAGTCAATAGCGTAGTGAGTGGATGCCTAGCAGATGGTGAGCTCTGGCCACTAGTTCGGCCGTCCGTTGGGGGAGCGGAGATTGGACAGAGAGCAGAGCCGCGGGGCGCGCGGGGGCGGCGTCGCGCCGGCGGGCGAAGAGCAGTCAGGGGCCGCAATTTTGACAGAGATGTCTCGACCGCGCAGTAGTAGCGCGTGTGTGATGTGGGAGTTTGTATTTTGGCGCCTGAGGGCCGCCCCCGGACGACACGCATGTACATGAGCAAAACCTGTCCCAATGAGCAATGTGTGGGCGAAAGGCCGAGCCGCGAGGTCTCCCCCCCTGCCCCCTTCCCTCTCTCTGACAGTAAACGCCGACCTGTACTTCTGCGTCTGCGCAGTCTCTCGCCTCCCATAAACACATCATGACCCCACATCCGCCAGCAGCGCCTCATGCCTTTGGCACTTTGCACAAGAGCTCCTCCTCTCCGCCGCCGAAGGACTCGACCGGCTCGCAGTCAGCGCCCTCCGCCGGCGATTGGCATAAGAACCAGCTCTTTCCGTCAGCCGCCGCTTCCTCGCCGATGAGCACGCAAGCCTCGCCGTCCGAGTCTTCGGCCTCGCCCGACCAGTCCATGCTGTAGAAGTTGTCTCTCTCGCGGCTCGCTTTGCGTAGTCCGGCGAGAGTTGCGGCCGAGAGGAGCCCGACTATCGGCACCAGCGGCAAGGCGGCCTTGGGGGGCGGTGCGCGAGGTGAGGGCGATGGCCGGAGGAGGGCGAGATGCAGAACCATCAGCTAGCCACCACAGTTCGGGGCCGAGCAAAAGATTTTTTTCACCTTTTCTGCTCACACGACCTTTCCCTCGATCCGGGATCGCTGGGAGACTTCGGGAGTTACTCTCATCCTCTTCCTCTTCGTCTTCGACTTCGGCCCCCCAACGCCCCCTGCGCATGTCTTGTCGCCCTAGGGGCTCGGCCCCAGGCCTGAACTCCTCACTGCGCTGACCGTTTTTCTCTTTTTTCGAAGTAAGTATGACGGCTAAACAAGCGCGCTCCGACGAATCGCCGTCTCAAGTCGGCGGCGGCGGCGGTGCCGGCGGCGGCAGCGGTGGCGGCGGCGGCGGTGGCGGCGGCGGCGATGGCAGCAGAAGCAGGCGACGAGGGAGCAAAAGCGGCAGAGGCGGCGGCAGCGGCAAGAGAAAGAGCAGCGGCGATGACATCGAGCTTAGAGACGAAGTGGTGAGCAAGGTCAAGGCGGGTCTAAAACCCTTCTACCTCGCGGGTCGGATCTCGTCCAAGGATCGTCCACCCGTGGCCCAAAAGCCGCGGCGTGCGCCACCGTCTCACCCGCCGCCCGCCCTGCCCGCCCGGACGGCAGGACGACTTCAAATACCTCGCAAAGAAGATATCGAAGAAGGTGCTCGAGAAGGAGTCGGGCCCCTGGAGCGAGCGGACGCAGCGCAAGATACACAAGTACGTCGAGGGCACCTTCCAAAAATCGTTTGTGTTTCAGCGCGCGGCGGGCGAGGAGGAGGAGGACTGACTCGCAAAGGAGAGGCCGCTTCGAGCGCCGCGTGGAGTGGTGCTCGTCCCTAAAGGACATGGTGATGTGTAGTGGCTGCCGGCTCGAGGACCGAGTTCTTGGTGCGAGCTGTGAGGTTTTCGCGGAGCGACCTGTAGTCGACTGTAGGATTCACACGTTTTACTTTCACCTTGTGATTTTTGGGTCAAAATCGTCCCGATTTCATAATGTTCGTTCGTACGTGCATCCGCGGCGCCCAGCGCGGTGCCAGCGGCTCCCATACCTCTAAGAGGCCACCCACCTCCGTATAGACCCTTATATCCGCGGTTTACGCCCAATAGAGGCAGCTGCAAGAGGGCCCGGACGGGCACTGCGGCACACACTGCTCGCTGCTCGGCCATGCGGTAGCGTCTGGTGATGCCGCCCCTGCGCGGGCGGGGGCGTCTCGCTCGGCAGCAACTGCGCCGCGCAGCGCAGGTTCGAGGGTCGCGGTGGGTGGGTGCACTGGAAGACGTAGCGGTCGAGAAAGCGCTCAGCGACCGCTACGTCTCGAGGATGGAGCCGTCGCGCGGACCCGACCGGCCGACCGGCAGTAGCAGCAGGCGCCGGAGGGCGCGGGAGGCAGCGGCGACACCTCGGGCCAGAAGCGCGAGCCCTAGGCTGGTGAGGGGGCCCGCTCATGCGTAAACGGCTCTGGGACTTAGCTAAATCGCGCATCGAAATCGGGACGATTTTGCCAGGGCACCGTCACAAGGTGCACAATACGAAATATTTCTTGTCTCACTCTCAGCCACAGCGCTCTCACGTCTCAGGGTAAAAGAAAGAAAGAAAGAAAACAGACAACCCAAGGGAGGGATGGGAGGACGGCACGCCGCCACCACACAGGGATTTTAAGGAGAGGAGTGTGGTGCGAGCGGTAGCCGTCGGCGTCGCCCCACCCTACCCTTTGGGCGTCTGCCTCTTCCTATGGTATCTCCCTTCGCAGTCCCTTGCCGATTCTCGCTGCAACCTTCATGCCACCTCGCGGTCGTCCCACTCTCGTCGTTCTCCCTCCTGTCGCTTCCTCCTCTGTCGCGTCGCTCTCGTCTGCCTCGTCCTGCGACGCAGCGACGCCGCCGCCGGGCCTGCCGATCCCCTAGCCGATCCCTTGCTCTCGCGGCTTCTCCCGCCTTTCGGCGCAACTCTGCCCTCCTCGCGGCATATTTTGGCCCCTCGAGTTTATCGAGCTCTCCTCGCGCAAGGACGACTCTTCTGACGCCCACTGCGATCATTTGCCGCCAAGTCATATCGTTGCTCAGGGTCCACTCTCTCTTCGAACAACTTGAGAGAGAGAGATTGTTTGAACACTTGTACCTCCACAGATGACGCTGGCGCAGGGGTCCCCTTCGGGTGCATCGTGACAGCTGACGACGGGATTACCACTGGGTCCCCCTCGGAGTCATCTTCCCCGGCTTTCTTCCGCTCGGCTCTTCGCTCGGTACGTTCGGTGTGGCTCACCCTCCATGCTGTGAACAGACGCTTTATCCATCCTATATTCTTCTCTCGCTCCTCTGCCCGTGCCTTGGTCTTGTCGTTGTTTCGCATCCATGTCTGTATGGCGATCGAGGCTGCCTTCCCCACTACCTGTAGTTCACTCGTCACCTCTCCCGCGAGCTCCCCTCTCTTTCTTTCGGGTATGGAGTCCGTGAGTGCGGGGTAGAAAGAAAGAAGAAAGAAAACAGACAACCCAAGGGAGGGATGGGAGGACGGCACGCCGCCACCACACAGGGATTTTAAGGAGAGGTGTGTGAGTGCGGGGTGTGGGAGCATGCCAGCATGCTCGTTTTCTTATGGGGCTCGTTCCCCTTTTACCACCCCGATGGGTCCTCGCCGAGGCTACCCTCACTAGACAGGTGGTCGCGCGGCCTGCCTCTCCTCAGTGCTTGTCGTCCACAAAGGAGTGGCGACGTCCGGCACTGGCGTTGGAACCCCAAACAGCCAGCAGGCGGTCAGGACAAACTTCGCCCTATGCTTCGCTCGGTGTGGAGCGCGCCTCACGTGGCTGCGGCGGCCGCCTCGCTGCATCGCGGCCGCATTGAGTACCAGCGTGGTCGCCACTTTGAGCTCCTCGCGCGAGAGCCAGGGTCCGAGCGGCCCGACCTGCCCATCTGGGTCTCGTCGCCGCACGCAATCGAGTACGAGCCCGCCGCCGGGCCTGTCGTCAAGCACGAGGTGCCCGGTGTGCGCGGCGCGTTCGTGCTCTCGAACGTTCTCTCGCCGCGCGAGTCCGAGCAGCTGCTGCGCATGAGCGAGGCGATGGGCTACACGGAGGACGCTCCCGTCTCCCTCGGCCGCCGCATCCGGAGGAACTCGAACTGCGTGTGGATCGCCGACGACTCGGTCTGGCTGCCCGTCTGGCGCCGGATAGCGCCTCACCTGCCGCCAGAGGCTGGCGGTGGCCGGCCGGCGGGCCTCAACCAGAGGTGGCGGCTGTACCGATACGGCGAGAGCGACGTCTTTCGCCTGCACACGGACGGGTCGTGGCCCGGCTCGGCGGCGGGCGACGGGAGGGTGACGAGGGACGCGTACGGCGACAGGTGGAGTCAGATGACGCTGCTGCTGTACCTCGACGACGACTACGACGGCGGCGAGACGAGCTTCGTCGTGTCGGAGGAAGGCCTCCCCGCCTCGGCTCACGCGCCCGGCGCGCGGGTGCGGTCCGTCCGAGTGGCGCGAGGCAGCGCGCTCCTCTTCTACCACGGAGAGCACCCGCTGTCGATGCTCCACGAGGGGTCGCTCGTGAGCAGAGGCGTCAAGACCATCGTCCGCTCCGACGTCCTCTACACCCTGCTCGGCCGGACCCTGCCGGACGGCGATTCGGCTGCGCTGCCGCTGGAGCAGCCTCCGCGCGACGAGCTGCGTTAGACGACGTCTCCTCCCATATTTTGCACCCAGTGTGAGGACGTGCAGTTGGTGACCTCACACCCAGGATTTGGAGTGTGCGGTTTTTGTTTTTTTTCTCGTGCTGGTGCCAGTGTGAGGCCGCGCTGCGCTGGCGCTTGGGTACGCGATCTGGTAGGCGATCTGCCCAGCCACCAGCTGAGGGAGCACATCATGGGCAAGCCCAGCCGCCGCCCGGAGCGCGACCCCGAGCCGCCGCCAGCGGTACGCGAGCGTCTAGTCGCAGCCGCTGAGCAACATGCTGCCGCGGCCAGGGCCAGCGCCGAAGCACCGGCGCCGAGGCCCCCATGGACGCTTCGCTCCATTCTTCCAGAGTCTCTGCTGCTGCCGTGGTGGGTGGTGCTGTTCCTGTCGGGATACGCGCTGCTCAAGCTCGGCATGGGCCTCGAGCACCCGTGCGGAGTCCTCGGCATTTCCGGCAGCGTGAGTCGCGGCGCAATCTCCAAGTCGTACCGCGCCCTCTCCATGTGCACGCACCCGGATAAGCTGCGCGCGAGGTCGGAGGACGACATGAAGCGCGGCGAGCTGCTCTTCAAGCGCGCCTCCCGCGCCCGCGAGGAGCTCCTCGCCTCGATGCGCGCGCCTGGTCCTGCCGCACCAGCCGAGGCACACCCGTCCGAGGCGGGCGGGGCGGGAGGCGAGGGCGAGGCGTCGGCCGAGGCCGCCGCGCAAGCGACGTGCTCGACGGAGCTGGACGCGGCTCTTTACCGCGGCGTCGTGGCGGTCGTGTCCTACCTACGCGAGCTCGGGCTGCGCCACATCGGCCTCGCGGTCGGCGAGTTCCTCTGGGGCGTGGTCAGCTTTGAGCACGGCCCGACCTACACCTGCTCCCTCCTCCTCCTCCTCCTCACGCTCCTCTCCTTCGTCTGGGCGCTGGTCAGCTACCTCGTCGCCACCGGGCCGGTCACCACCCTCCTCTCCGCCGCCGCCGCCGCCGCCATCGGCCCTCTCCCCACGCTCGCCCTCCTGCCCGCCCTCCCCTTCCTGCGCGCCGTCGACTTTGCACGTACCGACCTGAGGCGGCTCCTCGGGGGAGATAACTATCTCCTCGGGGGAGGAGTGCGCCCGCCCGCCGCCGCCTCCGAGCCCGCCGAGGCGGCTGCCGGGCCGCAAGCCGAAGAGAGCGACGGTGGCGAGGAGGACGAAAGCGACAAGGAGGGCGGGGAGGAGGAGGAGCGGCGGGGCGTTGGCGGCGTTGGCGGCGTTGGCGGCGCGGGCGGCGCGGGCGGCGCGGGCGGCGCGGGCGGCGCGGGCGGCGAGCCCCTGGCGGGCTCCGCTTCTCCCCACCCTGCGGGCGGCCGCCTCGCCGCGCGGTCCGACGAGCTGCCTCGCAAGGGCGGGCTGCGGCGGCGGAGACCCAGCGCGAGCGAGGTGGCGGCACAACGCGAGGTTCCGATCGCCGCACGAGAGAGAGAGCAGCAAAGAGAGAGAGGGAGAGAGGGAGAGGGAGAGACGGAGACTGCCAGCCGCGCCCGCGCCGTCGCCCCGCCCCCTTCTCCCCCCGCCGACGCTTCTCCCCCGCCGCCCCTCCTCCCCCGCCGCCCCTCCAGGCGCTGCTCAACGGCGAGCCCCTCGCCGCCGACCAGCCCGACTCGCACCCTCCCGACCCGCGCCTCACCGACACCAACCCCTTCGTGCGCGCCGCGGCCGCCATCGCACGCCGCCCCGGCCCGAGCGGGCGCGCCGACGCGGCCGCCGCGGTCCAGTTCGAGCTCCTCCTCTCCGTGACCAAGCCCGTCATCCCGCTGCTCTGCCTGCTCGCCACCGGCCAGGTGCGCCGCGCCACCCGTCCTGCAGCGGAGGGGCAGCGGAGGGCCCTGCTCACGACGAGGTTGGCTGGCGGTGCAGGTGTACAACGGGCTCGTCTTCTCCCTCGTCACCGCGCAGCTCCTGCAGCGCCTGCCCGCCCTCCGCTCCGAGATGACGCACTGCGTCGTCGCGCTCGCCGGCGCAGCGCACACGCACGCCGCTTCCCCGCCCGCAGCCGCCGCCCCTGCCTTGCCCTGGCCTGAGCGGGTCCCCCCTTCGCGCGCCGCAGTCTCGTCCACTCCGAGAACGCGACGCCCCTCGAGAAGGACGCCTCGTCGCTGCTGCAGCTCTCGTGGGCGTGGTCGGCGGCAGACGTCATCTGCGTCGCAAACGTGCCCGCAAGCCCCCGTTCACCGCCTCCTCTCTAGCACTCCGCCGCCTCCGGGGCGCTCACGCGCAGCACTTGTCAACAGATCATGCTGCTCGGCGCCACCCTCGCCGCCACCGCAAACGCCGGCAACGAGCCGCAGCTGAGCGGCTCCTTCGCCGCCGGCCTGGCGCTGCGCACCCTCCTCTACGAGCTCGCCCCCTCTCGCGCCTGGCTGCCCCTCTCGCAGCTGCTCCGCTCGCAGCAGCTCGAGTTTGTGCGGATGGCCGAGGTGGCGGCGCGCGCCCACGGCGGAGTCGGGTCGTGCTCCGGCGGGCCGGTCCGCTCTGCCCTCGGCTGGCTGGGCGCGCCGGTGCTGCCGCACCGCGTGGCGGTGGCGGCCAAGGCCTTCCTGCTGCTGCTCCCGTCCCTCTCTGCCGCGCAGTGGGCCGTGCGCTGCCTCGGGCTCGCGCGGCGCTTGCGGCGGGAGAGGCGGCGCGAGGGTCGCCCGGCGAGACATGTCCAGCACACGTCCGTGACATGTCCGAGACATGTCCCGTAGGCGGCGCGAGGGCCGCCCGGCGAGGCTGCGCTCGGGCGAGCTAGTCTGGCGCGTGCTGCGCCGGCGGCTCGCCGCCGCCGCCACTCTCTGCGTGCTCACGTGCGCCCTCGTCGCCTTTTACGCCACTTTCGAGCTCAACGCCGTCAACGGGCCGCTCGGCAATTTGCTGACCGTCACGCTGGCGGGCGGCCTCGGCGAGTCGCTCCTCGGGGTCTACGAGGCGCGCGGGCCCTCGCCGCCACGCGCCGCGCCCCTGAGCCCAGCACACACCCCTCAAGCCCGCGCTGCTGTCGCACAGGTGCGGGGTCGGCTGCGGCAGGCGGTCTTCTTTCTCTTCTTCATGGCAATGTAGCGAGATCGAGCAGGGCGGCTGGGGCTCGGCGACGGGCAGGGCGCCGGCGCGCGCGGTTGCCCGGTTGCGCGGCACGTTGAGCCCTTCGCGATGAGATGTGAGAAGCGTTTGCGCCCGCGTCACTCGGTGCTGTTTCACATGGTCTTCCGCGCGTGAGATTATATAGCTTTTGTGTGGGCCGACCCTGCGGCGCGGTACCCGACATGTGCAGGCGGGGTTGCAGTGGCAAGGAGAGGATGCACAGAATCGCACATACTTCCTTAATGGCATGCCTTTTCCAGGGAACGGGACCCTGTGCGCTGGTATGGAGGGGGGGGCTCGACCCGTCGTTCGACGTAGGACGTTCCGTGACCTCCCGCGCCGGTTTGGACGCTTTGGATCAGTGGACGCCTGCCACTGTGGCCGCGGCGCCGGGCGCAGGCCGCTCTCGTGTCCGTGTAGATCTGCGCCATCGTTACGACATGGAGCTTAGGAACTCGATTTCAACGGGTCGCTTGCGCGCGTGGGTCAACGGGTCGCTTGCGCGCGGTTACGGGCATTTATGGCGACAGGGAGAACCCATACGCAGCAGAGAGGGTGAGAGAGGGCACAAATTGGACCCCCGCTCAACGCGCGACCCGCTTTGGGGACATCTGCGACGAGGCGAGACAAAAGGCCCAGAATGTGGCCGCACCTGAGAACCCCACAGATGGGGCCTGGAGGGGCCGAAGAAATGGAGCGATATAGACAGCGTATGGGCCCTCTGGTAACAAGGTTGCTAGCTAGGGTTAGCTTGCTTCGTAACCCGGGTTGTGACCACCTTTAAACTCCAGTATCACACATCCGTTATACACACGGCGCCCCCCTGAGATTCGATTGAGATGCAGATGAGCTCGCCAGCTCGCGCGTGTGTTTCGTCGGTCGGCCGTCCTCTTCACACAGCTCACTTAGATTGGTATGTAAATTCCATGTTCACAGCAATTACCGCCCCCTTTTTTTCACCCGCTGACTTTTTAAATCTCAGCCCTGCAATTACTACCTGCCCCTGCCCTGCCCTGCCCTGCCCTGCCCTGCCCTGCCGTACTGCCCTGCCCGCATACTGCCGCACAACTGCCCTGCCCGATCCCCTACCTGCCCCGGGTCGCTCGCGAGGTCTCGGAGAAACTTAGAGTAGGCGTATATGCTGCCGCGATTTTACGTTCGCGTGCTGTTCTGGGCCTACCAACGAACCGACATATGATGTCGGAGCAGGACCACCGTGACCACCGAGGGGGTGCGGCGCTCCTCTTCGGCGTGAGTCTCGTGGCTGGCGCCACAGGCTTTGTCCTGGGCGCCCGCTTGAATCAGCCAGTGGTGGCAGACAAGCTACGAAAGAGACCGCTTACAGCGAAGCTTCCACGGCAACCGCTGGCAGCAGAGAAGCTACAGCAGCCGGTGGCAGAGGAGAAGTTTCTCCTCTCGGACATGGGCCCGCAATCAGAATACACGCATGTGCAATTTCTCGGCTTCAACCTCTTGACGATCCCCGGCCACGACGTTGACGGCTGCTCACACCCTGAGACAGGCTTGGAAGGGTGCTATCTTGGAAGTGAAGATATTCAGCAGGACGTCGAGCGCCGTATCGAGATCATGACCACGGCCATGCAGTCCGCCTATGCAGAGTGGAAGAGGAATAAGCTCGTGGTAGAGGCTGCCTCTGAGCCGCAGGTCAAGACGTTGAAACTTTTTGTGGTGCCCGAGTTCTTTTGGCGCGGCTCGCGCGGCGTGTACTCGTTCGAGGAGGTGTGGGACGGCACGCTACCGATTGTCGACCGGCTGCGAGAGGCCGCAGCAGACTCCAAGTTCGAGGATTGGCTATTCTTCTTCGGAACCATCGTCATGTCCAAGCCGACCAAGGGCTGGTTTGGCAGCAGTGAGCTCGCCTACAAGAACGTGATGCCAATCATGAAGGGTCTGCGAATGAGAGACAACTAGAGAGGTATCACTTCGGGAGAGGAGATGTCATCTAGAGTGGTGGGTGGACCCCGCAGGTGGGCCCGAGGGCAAGACGTGGCTGGTGGAGAAGCACACGATTAGCAGCATCGACTTCATCAAAGTCGACCCGGCGTTCGGCGTGCGCAAGCCCTGCGGAGTCGGCAGGTGTAGCGTGGAGTCGCAGGAGTTCAACGAGCAGTTTGATCTGGAGACCACAAAGGTGCTAGCGACCGCTGGAATACGCGTGGTTAAGGATAACGTCTTCGAAGTTGACGGCCTACTGGTTGGCGTCGAGATCTGCCTCGACCACAACCGCGGCACCGAAGTCTTTGGCTCTAGGACTGCGCTCGAGCAGAAGATCGACGAGCTCAAGACGACCGTTGATGTGCAGGTCATCGCCTCGGCTGGCATGAGCATCGAGTGGGGTCCTGTGGCGGTGACGCGGGATGGGCCAGTGTTCATGGCAGACGGCTTCGGTAAGACGGAGGTGAGCTTCAATCGGTACGGTCTCGGGCTTGAGGACTGGCACAACGACCCCACTGCGTTCATCCAGGTCGATGTGTTGTCCACCAACATTTATCACCAGTATGCAACCTGGATTCAGGTTCCAGCTACGGTCTGCCGTTCTCTTTCAGCGAATAGTCCTTTCCAAACATCTCGTGCGCTAGTAGGCGCAAGTGGCGAATCGCTCGAAGACGTGGCCGGGGGAGCTGTTTCCAGGCATGCACCGGTTAAGCTCCAAGGAACTATACCCGACGCAGGTGAGCGCCCTCGGCAACGGCTGGCGCCAGCTGCTCAAGGGCACCTTTCCGACGGCGGCGTACGACGCGGCCACCGAGATTGCAACGGTGTTGAATCGTGCGGCAGCGCGGGACGGACTGCCAGGGGGTGAGATGCTCACGTTTCCCACCATTGACGTGTATTCGCCGACTCCAGTGCAAGCGCGGAGGGTGGCGGCGGTTCAGCCAGAGACATTTGTGAGGACGCTGCCCCCGCCCCGTTCGGCGCGTGCGCTACGGGTGGGAGGGGATTTCTTCTCGATGTGACGAGTTGTGAGGGTGAGCGCATGATGATTGATGTGGGCGCATATGATTGTGCCTGTGACATATGTACATGTGCATGTGCAGTGCATGTGGCCATTGTTGCGTACGGCTTTAATTCCGGGGGTCGGGGCGGGGCCGAGCGTTTTTGATCTCTCGGTAAGTGGGCGCCCGCCCGCCGCCTCTGAGGGGGTCGGGCCCCCTAGACTGAAAACAAAAACAAAATGTAGAAACCGTCGAAAACAGCCTGCGAGCGCGGCGCTGCGCGCCGCCTACCTCGTGCGGGTGTGAGTGACCCCAAAACCTTGGGTTCGAGGACGACGACATCGAGGATGTCATGTTGCGCGATGGCGTCATCCATTTCGTCAAGCCACCTTCGCCACCGTCTCGCCTACGTCGCCGCCTCGGCTCCCCCCCCCCCCCTCCGCTGAACGGTACTGCACATGCTGCGCGTTCTCGCCTTGTCCCAGGAGCCAGGTGCGTGTGTCTAACTCTAATCGTACTTCGTAGTGGGGGCCCTGGCCCCCCTCTGTTTTCTGTTTTCTGTTTTTCAACACGCCCGCCCGCCCGCCACCCCGAGGCGGCTCGGCCCCCCACTTACCGAGAGATCAAAAACGCTCGGCCCGGGGGGGGGCCGGGCAATGCCCGGCATCTCTAGAGGGTCGCTCTCTCCGCTCTCTTGAGGCTCTCAGGAGGAGCCGGAGCCGGCCGGGCAGGAGCGGCCCCACACTGCTCGGTACCCCCCCTGCACATCTAAAGCCATCCCTGCTGCTAAGGAGGGGGGGGGGTCTTGCCCCCGCCTTAAAACCCCGATACTGGAAGAGGGGGGGGGGGGGCCCCCCCCCCCGGACGAGAACGCTTTTAACGTTGAGGGGGAAGACCCTTTTTTTTCCAAAAGCGGCAGAAAATTTTCTCCCCTTGGGCGCTAAATAAAATCGGCCTCCCTCTCCTCAAATTGGGGGCCTCCTCTCCCTGCGAGAATAAAAACATTGTGGGCTGGAAGGGGGTCATGACCCTCCCCACAAGCAGAAAATTCTATGATATAGTCAGCGGGAGGGGGC